TCTCACCTTGTTTTCTTCCTGCTTGATGGCCTCTTCAATGGCATCCATTGCTTTCTTGAACTTCTGGCCCTTTGCCGCCTTGGACAGTCGCTCCTTATGCTCCAAATAGGGGAACAGGTTCTCTGCTCGAACCCAAGCACTGGGATAAAAAGAGAAACCTGGATTCACGTATGAGCTCAATCATTTGAATAAAATCTGGTACACTGAGTTCTTTAATTTCACATGAACGTAACATTATTTAAATTCTCCATTATAAAGACACTATTGCTATACCTATAGTTACTAGTACATAAGAGACGCCTTCAGCCAAATGCTGTTTTCAATGGATAAGATGGGCACAAAGGAACCTGTCTATTTCAGAAATGGTGGTTGCTATTGCAAAAGTTTGCCCCAAATCACAGGGTATATCAACAGTGTCTTTAGTCTAGGGAATTCAAATTGCTATGTTTATGTGCAATCAGACAATTCAGCATACCAGATTTGATTCAAATTTAACTTTCAAAGGCTTATTGCATGGCTGTACCCTAGGCAAAAAGACAATGCCTTTCATTGCTGGCAACACACATTGCTTTAGCACAACATCCATAGTGCACAACCCCACTCAACTGTGTTGTTCTTGAGTGGCTTGTGCGCATTCGGACAAAAAGTGGCAGAATCATCATATTGCCAATAAGGTCAGTGTGGACACAGCTCAAGTGTCTCACTGGAATATGTACAGTTTACATCTGAATTCTATGTCTGTAGCTATGTCCATGTAATTGGTGGTTACAAGTACACAAGCACAAGTCGACAGCAGACTTAAGTCACACTGAAAACCTGCCTTCGGGTATTGCTGCAGTCTAAGAACATCACGTGCATCACTACCTTTGCGACCTCTGACAAAAGGTCAGTTCATTTTAGAACTTCTTAGCCACCAAAAACATAAGTACTGCAGTTGGCACGCTGCATACTTGAGTATCACAGCTAACTAACTCCAGGGAAGGTAGAATGGTAATATGCCAACAACACTCAATACAGCTTCAGGAGCTTTGGGAATGCTGTCTATCCTCATTTTTATACACATACGACACAAAGGTCAAAGGTCAAGTCTCTTGGCATGTACCATAAGTAGGCCTTATTATTGCCTTTTAAAGCTCAACCAAGGTGCCCACTGCACTGCTCTAAGCTGACCAAAATCGAAGAGGATGTTAGATTAGATGTAAAAGGGTATGAAGCACCAAGCATCGTGCAGTTCACCATCTTAGGGCATTTTCAAAATGCCTGGATTCGGCTTAGACTTCGGTTTGGCTGGTTCCAGCTATTTTGAAGCAGAGTTGGAAACCACATGCTCAAGCTCTGACAGGACCAGTGAAACTGGAGTCTGAGCCGAATCCACACATTTCAAAAATGCCCTTAGAATCAATCACTGTCAGTACAACGAATACCGAAACCATAATTCTGATCAGGTCTAGTTCTTAACCAACAAGTACACTCGAACTGCGGTTTACATCCGACAGCTGGACTCTTGACTTAGTGGCGCCTGATTGCAAAGTAGCCCAAAAGGCCCTTTGATGTGTGGGTGTGACCTTGAAAGGAACACTCATAGCCAAGCTTATACAGTGCTCATCAACACTGAATTTGTACCAATGAATTTTACTTTGTTTACTTTATTTGCTGGAATTTTACTTGATTGATGGTGCAAGTTAGGATTATAGCATTCAAAAGTCATAATAGTTTGTGCCACTTTCATTGATTCGTCATTTAATTTATGCGGTGGAAAGTTGGAACATCTTTGTAAGAAACATATATGCGATCTTTGACTTTCATTTCATGAGACGTGTTCAATTTCTACTTTTCTTTTATTCACTAAAAGAACAGACTACGTAAAGTTTAAGATTTTTTTACTTACTAATACGCCATTTCACAAGAGTGCGCCACCAAGAGTTTGCAATGCACTGACCAATCACAATTCACGAAATCTGTAGACCAAATGTGCGTTTGGAAAGGGTAGACAGATTTTGCACGTTTTGATTGGCCAATGTGTTGCAAACTCTTGGTGGCGCACTATTGTGAATCGCCCGTATTCCTTACTTATTTAAAAAAAACATGAATGTTCCAAGAACACTCACATGTTCCATATAAAGATAAGGCTCTAATTGTTTTTGTTAAGAAATTAAATATGTAAATTTATTACAATATGTGAATACAACCCTGAGGTGCACATTCAAAATAGAATTCCACAATTAAGCCTTTTGAAATAATTTTCCACCAACTATATACAAGTTGACTGAGAAAATCAATACTAAATGTATCAATTGGCCAATCCAGTATTGCAATGAGGCAACGTTAATTGGGAAAAACAATCCGACATCATGCGTGCCTTTCTCCCAAATACGTACGGATTATCCTGAATGACCTACGACGTGCTTCATTTTGTGAATGAGCACTCAGGATACCCACTGGCTCAATCATTTTGCCAGTGTTCACCACTTCCTGCCAGGGACTCCGGAATCGGAGACGTATGGTTTATATGCGTGGCCAGGGTCTCCAAACTCGGACAAAGGAAACAGGGCCCTGTAACAAAAGACCGTACTCCGAACAAAAGACCAGGCTGCTGGGCATTACCGACATTTTTCACTCTCAAAAGTGGTGATAATCAAGCCTTGTTTTGAAACCGTATACCAGGGTTTGGGGCATTGAGAGCAAGCGGATTACCACCGAGGACAAAAGCGCTCCATCACGGCAGCGATGAGCCACACAGCACCGCTGCACGCTAATCTGGCCCCTATTTAAAAGAGGTCAGCAGTGCACTGAGCCAGGTTCATGAACAAAAGACAGTTATACAACACTGCACAATCTGGGCTCTGTTTACAAGGCTGCAGGCCTGGCTGAAATACTCGGTTGTCGATGAAGGTCACCTGTCAACTTAGAGTAGTGCCTAAAGATTACTTCGTGCGGCTATAAATGACCGTTAAATGAAATGATGGATTTTTGAAGGTTTTTGGAAACGGAAAAAATGATAGTCATGCCAGCCCAGCATCATCAACATTGAAAATGCCCTGGCATAAAGTAGTTAATGCGGCAGCCTTTAAAATACCTGATACATTGGTCAGCTGGCACTCAATGAGGCTTCAATATATTCATGTACATCACAGTGGCACTGGTAGGGTTTACACTTCTAAAAACATTTAGCAGTGAGCATTACAACCTGTTGGTCTTGTGGTTCACTTTTATCGATAACTAAGACCCACACAGAATTTTAGGGGTCAACACACGAAAAACAGACACAAGAGAGAACAAAGTGAACACAAATAAAAGTTCACACCGAGAATTTCTGGGATCAAATGAATCTGCAAGCTTTCTGCTCTGGTGAAGGTGCTCTAAGACAGAAGAGGCTGGTGGGAACCATTTCGACTGGTGCCAGCGCACGGGCGAAGACTGTACACTCCCCACACTACACTACTTGGTCACCCATATGCAGCCTGACTGCATCAAGCACACGGACCTGTTTGCACACAGTGTGCCCCCACCAGTGTGACATCACTGCTGTGTGAAAACCCACCATCTCATGTTTCTGCTTGAGGCAGATTAACAACAAAAGAAGTAAAGAGAAATGCTTTCACTCACTGGTCTTCCGTGCCAAAGAAGAACACAAAGTATGTCAGCTTCTTTCCTGGAGGCTTCTTCACATGTTTCCATGGCTTGACAATCTGTGGATTGGAACGACAAATTGCTTCCAATAGTTGCTCCACTAGAAATTACAGCCATTTTTCTGAGTGTAGCAATGTCACTCACGATCCAACTTAAAACAGATTTTTAGTTATCATGAGACTGCTTCCCATAAAATGATACTTAAATACCTTTGAAATTCCTTTAACTAGCTGTAGAAAAAGTATTATCTGCTCTTTGCGGGAAATGTCCCAGTTTGAAAGGTTAATAAAACTACAGGTTTTCAAAGGCATGGAGTTGAGTTTCTAATGGTTTTACTGTGCAGTCTGTTAGAGGACCGACTACTCAAATACAGCTCAGGTACCTTGCTTAAAGAGAACATGGAAAAGGTTGCTGTTTGAAGTCAACCTCAAGCATTCACGTTAATTACCAAATACTTACAAAGATCAATTGCACCGACTGAGTCACATGACCTGCAGCGGGTATTGTTGTTCAACAATTGAGGACATTTGTGTAACCAAAAGCACACTTCATGTACTTGCCATATGACTAATTTTTAAAATGACTTTTAGAACCTTATTTCCCAGGCTGGATAATTTTCTAAAAGTCATAATCTGTCTAGAAATCGTCATTGAGGGCAGCGTGTGAGTCAGCCAAAATTATGACATGATATGTGGGAGTAGTTCCATCGGGGTATTTAAATTCCTCCACCCGGCACGGTCCATGCAGTAACCACGTACCGGTACAATACAAAGTCATCCGTTACATGTAGGCGATATGGCTGTCCTATCGCAATATGGGTCTGCCTCAAGCAATGCATGGAATCTGTGTTGAGGTCTAGGCCCAGCTACAGCAGCAGAGATTTTGAAGTAGATAAAGCATTCGCACATGACCAAAGTCCCAGTATGCCCAATAACTGCATCGTAGGTAGCTGCTGGCAACCTACACAGAATAGCTTTGATACACTTTCTTCCCATTTCCCTCACAAATTTCACGACACGAGTTCGCGTTACATGTTCATATTCGTATACAAAGGTAAATACATGTATTGAGTTCAGAGAAGCTCACTTTTTGACTTGTGTCCAAATTTTAGACATGTGCCAATAAAAAGGGGAGTGTACATGTAACTTAAGCACAGTTAAGATAACATCCTTGAACTCAAAGGACGAATTGATTAACGTCTGTTGTACGTTCACCACACCAACACGCAAATGTGTTCAATCCTTTGCCCAATTTCTGGACAGTGCCATTCTTGTGACAATTATGATTTTTTAAATTTTGCTTCAAAATATCCTTATGTAAAAGTCCTTCTCCCCGTGCTAATGTCAGTTTTGCATTCCAAACACATGCTACAGTTGCAATTTTTTCATGAAAACATTTGTTTGAACTAAAGTGTGCATACGGCACTACTTTCTCAGGCTTTTGAGAGTGGTAATGACCGGGCCCATGATGCTCCCAACTGTTTTTGCTTCCTTCCTTGCCGTCTCATCATGTCCTCCCTGAACGATACCAGCGTTGCTGGAAACCACATTGTTAATGGCATCTGCTTTCCAAAGTACGAACTAATATTGGTTTGGCAAAAATGCTTCAGTGCTGCTGATGTCATTGACAGGATTGGTCTCATCTTAAGAGTGAGAAGAAACTGACTGCTCATCAGCATTGATGTCAGAAAACACCCTGAAGTTGAGATTGGTAAGCTCAAAGCCCTTCATTACTGTGTACATGCTATACTTCAGCAAACAGTGGTTACTGGTAGGTATTCAGACTCCCACTTACTGCGTCACAACTTTACAGAATGGCAAGATGAAATCGATGACTATTGTTTTTCTTTTTGAGTCCGATGGATTCCTAAAACAGCAAACTTTTTCCTCACATTCAATTTTAAATACACAGTTTAAAAAATGCGACCTTGTCCCTGTGATATATATGGGTGTACCCTACATAATGAAAGATATTGTAGAAAAATACCCTTCCTCATTGAACTACATCTATAAACATCAACAAACACAGCATCCACCAAAAGCAAAGTGTTTCATAAGCATCATTTTATAGCCGAAGTAAAGCCAACAGTAGGTCCAGTGCTCACACTACTGATGTGCTGGGTACTATGCCATAAATCGGCTTTACTGTTCATAAACAATACTCATAATACACTTTGCTGTGGGAATGATACCCACTATAGGTCACATGATTTAGCGGGCGCAATCGGTCTATTAGTTCTAAATAATCATAAGAGTCAGGAGAATAGCCGATTCAATAAAAGACTTGTGGTATGTAGCGGTAAAGCGAATTAACTATCGATATTTGCGATTAACAGCACTAAATTCAGATCTAAAGAATATTCTCAACAACTGAATACTGGGGTAGACGCTTCTGCACGGAATTATTGATAATGTACCATGTGCAGCGTTTTTCTGTACTCCCAAAACATGAAGTCATATGTCCCACGTCATATGTCTCCTTGACTTGGAAGTGACTGAAGAATTTCTGTGCTTAGGATCCAATTACTTTAAGCCACTCTGATATGCCGACTCATTTGGAAGATCCCAGCGCTACTGTGAACAGCTTCTGTGTATGTACACGTAGGAGTTAAAAAGATGTTTTAATTTCAGATGAGTGAAGTGCTGATGTGGCATGTGAGAACTCACCCTTCCTGGCCAATGGGGAAAACTGCTCAGCTTGGCCCTGTAAGCACAGAAAGTGGAGGAAAAACAAGAAAGTAACAGTAACTCTTGGGCTAATATCGCGAGTTTTGATCTGACCTGGTAAGATTCATAAGTTCTTACATTTATGGACCTCGTGCTTTTCGAGAGCCTGTCAGAATATAAACATTGATACCTTCATCTTCTTACAATAACATGTACTAACCATGATGTTGCTTTAACAGTCACAGATAGTCAAACATTCCTTCCACTTGATTTGCCACAGTACACAGACACACAGGGCCATTTGACTGATTCTGACTGACAGGAAAACTTGGTCAAGAATGCACCTGTAGGAGGGCTAATGTTGCTGTCTTACCCATCAGCACCAACCTGGCCAGGATTAGCTGGCCAGCTCAAAAGTTTGGCACATTAGCTGGTACATTAGTTAAACCGACTTCCGAAGGAATGTCATGTTTGGATGCGGTCACCAGTAAGACTGAACTTGTAATATTTCCTCAGATAGGCGTGCCTACTGAAACACTGATTTTTTAATGAGGGCCCTGTATAACTTAACATAAAGAACTACTTTTTTGTGATACTTCAAGAGGCAGAAAGAAGGAGGGTTTGGGAAGGTTCCTTACTCAGTATGCACCTAAAAGAGTAAACTTAATTGATACTACTTGAAAACACCACAGAATTGGGATGTTAGACTGATGACTTCTGACTTCATACCAACATTACTGTATCACTGTAAATTTTCTCTCAAAAGAAACTGTCCATTTGCAGCAATCAATGGCAAGAGTTCCACAAGCGGATATCATCAAAAGCCCTGCAGTGGTTTATCAGCCATCAGAAAGTGATAATATGATCCTCTAAGTCAAATTTGGCAGGAAAAATATTTCAAAGCATTGAAGCATTTATTTCAAAAACACTGAGAAGTTTTCAAACCAGTCTTACAGAGTTACAGGTGATGTTGCTGTACTGTCTTTCCCAATCCCTTATCCTAAATCACAATGGATCGTTGATGAAGTCCGACAGTTGCCAGTTGCAAATTCATAATTTCAGAGAACTGTAACCTTCAGAAACTGGCTCTTCATTTCTACTATGATTTAGAACACTGGCCATCCTGAACTGTGGCAGGATCCTGAAAGGGCCAGGCACCCGTCTAGATGTATTTGGTGCTGAGCACAAAGATCGTGCATGTCATGACCTCCTGCTTATCAGGACAAGAAGCCACTTTTGGAGTGAAAATTTGTCTTGTCCTGTCCAGAGCATGAAGTGATATATGCATGAATCTCAAAGACACCTCTACAAACTACAATAATGCAAAACGCAATGCACTACAATGCTAGAAAATGCTCTGTAATGATGATTTTGAACAACTATTTGAATAAAGGGAAAATTCCCTTTTGTGGCCCTAGGTAAATACCATGGAGACTGTTGCAATTATGAAGTTCCAGTGAGGTCCTGATCCAGCCAGATTCACATGTAACAACTGCTTTCTGTTAGTTAATTTTATGTTATCACCCCTTTAGCTTAATGGTATGATCCACACTGCCTTCTGATGCAACACAGCTTCTGATTTTTGGAGTAAAAGGCAATTTTCAAACGTCTAACCTTCTGTTGTTCAGCCAAAATGCTGTTTGCCAAATACGTCACAAATACTGCTTCTGTTCATTTGGAACATGTTTTAGAGGTGTTGATGGTGTGTTGACAGCAATTAGTATGACCACATGTAGGCCCTCCACTCCTTAACGTTTGAGGCTACATTGTCAGGACTGCTCTGACAAAAGAATGTTCTTCCTCTCATTTTTGCAAATGCATTAGACCTAGAAATTATTTTTAAAAAAAGAAAAACTTAGTGGTCATACAAAATGTGTGCAGATATTTTCCTTTTGTATTTTCATAAAATTACATTAACAATGCTCCCTGACATGTACATGTATTATGTAGTAACATAAACAGAAGTCTGAGGAGAAATGGACACCAACCCTGCCCGTCACTGATTGATGAATTTCTTTCAAAAGAAAAAGAAAAATTCACTCATGAGCTCATACCTTGCTCTAAATATTATCAATTATACTACGTCATGAAAGGCCTGTGATCTACTGAAAATTCCCTTAGTTTCAGAGTTCCATTGATCTAAACAAGAAGACCCAGAAAAATTCAAGACAATAGGCACGTGAACATGGTGAACAACACAACCAAACGCATTAATGCGAGCCGTCCATTGAAAGGAGGCTCCATTAAAAAGGTGATCATTTACCACACGTGTTCTCCAAGCTTAAATTCCTGCTGCTTTTCTGGCTCTTTGTCAGCCTTCTCGTTGGGAGATTTTGGCTGCTCGACAACTGCTTGAGTCTGCTCCTGCTCGTCCGCCATTTTGCACGCGAAGTGAAGGTTTTCAACTTTTGCGGCGTCGGTTGAGCGCCCTCTATAGGTTGATGCTGGGCGAGTTTTTCCCCTTGTTCCCATCGCCGAGGACGGTGGGAACCGTTAATGTCTTGGCCACATTGTCCTCGAGCTCTCATTGGATAGAATTCGCCGTACAATTACGAGGTCAATATGTTCGTATGCGCGTATCACCGAGATCTGTGTTTGATTTCATTAGTGAGATTGAAACTACCCACAATGCTTTGCAACTGTGACAGCTTCGCAAAATTTTGTGAAAGGTGTTTGCTAGTTCCCAGAGCACCACTTGGACCTTGTACGGTGGCGCGGGTACGGTGCGAGGGATTTTTTTTCTCTTTTTTTTTGGGGGGGGGGGGGGAGATATCAGCAATAGTACAATACATCTTCTTCTTCCAAGTACTGCAACAACTTCCACTACGGGATCTTTTAAGTTGCAGGTGAGTGGGGATTAGCTGACTCCAATACATGTCACAAAGTCAAAAGATAAAGTAAAAATGTATATTTTTTATTCAAGACAATCTTTTACTCCACCCCTAGCTACATATGTACAGTTCTGTACATGTACGTGTACATGTATTTTGATATACATGTACATGTACTAAGCAGCTCTTTCTCGTGCTCACCCTAAATATCAACAGAGGGCGCTATAAAGTTTTAACGGTCCGAAATCCCAACCGTAGACACGAGTGAAATGGGTGTTGTCGTTAATTAACCCCTTCGCTACGGAGGACTGCTACTGCCGCACCATTGTTGAAAACCGACTTTCATGCGGGGAATACGCAAGTTTCTGCGGTTTAATACAGGATCATAAAAATACATTCAGTAAATTATTGGCTCATTGTTCGACATGATAGTCTGTCGAGGTTCGGGACAGGTTTGGTCCCATGAATTTTTACAAGTGAAGTTTGACGATCATCAAGTTAAACTTTCTCTAGCAAGATGGAAATACATGAAGTGAGTAATAAAGTGCCATAAGAAGTTGTTAGGGTGATACAGCCGATCACAGATAAGAAAAAAACAAAAGCTCTCAGGCTTGACACATGCAATTTTTTCAGGGGGCAACGAAGGCCGATGAATTATGGCTTAAATTCAAAATTGCGAATGGGGCCAGGGGCATGGAACTCCGCTGGGGATACGTACACCGTGACGCATGACCCCCCTCTTCCCTCATTACGCCGCTGAATATACTGTCTTTCTGTGAACTGACTGAAGTTAAAATAGGTGTAAACATTTTGCGCCTGTTGCCCCCCAAAAATAAAACATATGTGCCTACAGCAAACTCTCTGTGTGGTTCGCAATCGCAGGAGCATCGGCGAAAGGAACGATATCTGGGTGAGGGGGAGTCGAATAATACAATGTGTCGGTTACGGAATGAGTCATGCGCATTTTTTTTTTCTGAAATGGAAAAAAATATGACTTTCGGCGGTGTATCTATATAGGACCTAGCCTTACGCGTGTACATGAACGTGTACAGAACGTGTACATTTATTCAGGTACCGCTAGACCTGCTGGGTCTGTATGGTCCGCATCAGGGTTAGTGCATCTCCATAGTTAGTGAGTTTGTTTCTGCATTCAATTGGGGACCCAGAACAATAGAGGACAATAAGGTCCCCGATTGACAGAGGGTCCCCGATTGACAACTGTGTATAAATCATATGAGTGGTCTTCTAAAAAAGTTTAAGTACAAACAAAAGAGGAACAATAGGGGGTCCCCAGTTGCAGGCAAATACACACTTGGGTGTGTGTGTGTGTGTTTTTTTTTTTATTTTTTTTTTTAGAGTATTGCTGACAGCTTTCAAAACGGAATAAGGTTTACAGTAAGTTTAACCGCGCTGTTGAAAGTCATTTTCCCTCCTCTTTCATAACGTCATCACAAGTTCCAGCCGACTACTAAAATCGAAACACAACAGTCATCATCGGCGCGCCATAGGGTGCTCTCAGGGTCAAGCTATTTGCTATGCAGATAATTAGTGCTAGTGCATGACCGGTGTCGTAATTTATGTAGTGGTAGTAACTCCGACTCTCAATCTTCATACCGCCCACTTACTACATGCTCGTATACCAGACTTTTTCGTCACATGATTGTCTGCATATAATTCACGTACGTATCCGTGGTGCAGCCATTTTTGTTAGGCCTACTTGCTGGAGAAGTGGCGATCCCTTTTCTCACCTTTTGTTCCGTACTCTGTCTGAGAAACACGCAAATATTCATTCATCAAAATGACTGAGCCACTGTACACACCCTTCTTCGGCATAATGGGTGCTACTGCCGCCATGGTGTTCAGTGGTAAGTACTTGACATTGAATTGACGTCGTCTACGCTGCCTGATTCTGTTGCATCATGGCGTGATCGTAATCACGGGACAATGATTACGGCATTGTAAATAGCAATTTACTTCACAAGCACTTTTGCTGAAAGACCTGATGGAATGGTGTACGCCGTGCAGAAAACATTGAAGTTTGACAGCTTCTTTTTAAGTGGAAAATAGGCCTCAGAGTAGTGCAAGGAGGCCTGAACCATTTTTTTTTTAATTTTAGGCCCTAATTTTTAAAAATCATTTTAGGCTAGTAACTGATATCGGAGAAGTCGTCATGCCATCAAAAACAATTTGATTTAAGTTTTAATTCCATCAGACTAAGTTTTAGTTAGGCCTATTTTTTACCATGTTTACACACGATCATTGGTTGTGAAATTCTTAAAATTAACATCTTTTAAAAGTCTTTGTACTCCCTATTTGTGCCTTGTTTCATTGAATCAATGGCGACTTCAGTGGAATTTAAATAGAGGATCCAGGCCTACAGCATCAGGAAAAGACAGATGTGAATTACAGATTGCTAAATAATGTCAAATGAATAGTGCCCTCACACATTTTTGCATGTCCCTGCCATAGAAATACTTAACTTAAAAAGAAAACGCAGTGAGCATGGTGGATATTGCAGTGCGAACAGATGCGAGTAACTTGGACCGTACTTATTGCGATTGACAACTTTGGATATTATCTGGCGAAAGTAGGGTCTGAACAAATTCACACTGGCAGGTTTTCAGATAATTAATAGCCTCCCAAACTAAAGCTCTAGAATTATGTTGATGGTAATTAGACTTATCTACGATGTGGATGAAAAGTGCCTCGTTCCTAATGCACAGGGTTGGGTTTGAATTTGCAGGCTATCATAAGGTTATCTAAATACTACAGTCGTGCTTTTTAGTGTCAACAAGCATCAATACTCACAAGTACAAATGTAGCGTCAACAACTTGGAAATTTATACCCCTGAAGATTTAGAAGTGGCTTAATTGTATTTTAGAGACTCTCCTATCTGCCACTGTATAAGAGAAATAGCAGATTTGCTTCCACATGCTATCAGGAAAATGAAAATTCGTATGGGGGCCGCCATCTTTTTTTTCTCTGCTGTCCACGCGAAAACAAGATGGTTGCAGTCAGGCTGCATGAGCAGGCCCTATTTGTGGCTCAAATTTCAACACTCAAATATCATTTCGATGATGCGATACGTTGAATATGATATGTAGGAGCCAGATTAATATTGTTTATGTAAAATATTTGCATAAATAGGCTTGATTAAGTTGTTGACACTCGTTGACGCTTGTTGACGCTAAATTTTCCATGAAATATGCAAATTAGACAGCCGCATGCGTGCTGTTACCACTGGTTGACAAGCATGGCCGTCAACATTGTCGGCAGCGTAGGAGAGCTGCTGTAACCATAACCTGGAGCTTTGAAGGCCAATCAAGCAGTATTAGACTCTGTCCAATACTTCAGCACGATTTTCTTGAAACTAAGTGAAGTTTTCAGTGTCCTGAGTTTAGAAAGTAACAATCCCTTGTCCTCAAGTTTGGCACTCATGTCAAACTATACTAGTACAGAACCGGCATGTATGTGTTTATAGTTGTGCGTGCATGGAGATTTGTATTATTACGTCATAGATTTAAGCAACTTTGCCAACCACTGGTAGTGATGCACATGCACCTGCCTTATTTGCATACATATTTCATGGGAAAGGTCCAATAGTACATGGCTTTAGTCTTTGCAGCTTGTACATAATGTGTAAGTGTGTGGTTTATTGAATTGTTGACACTTAATGACATGCAAATAAATTTGTAACCAACTTTTTGTTGAAATCTTTTTCTTCCAGCATTGGGCGCAGCCTATGGAACGGCAAAAAGTGGCACCGGCATTGCAGCAATGAGTATCATGAGACCAGAACTCATCATTAGATCTGTTATTCCTGTTGTCATGGCAGGAATCATCGCGATATATGGTGTTGTTGTTGCGGTGGTTATTGCCAATTCGCTCTCCGATTCGGGATATTCGCTATACAAGTAAGTAGTGTGACATTGGCCGATCACAGTTTACATGTAGTTTATTAGAAGGCCATTTTTCCAACTATTGAGTACACTTTCTTGCATGCTCATAGTTCACTGTCATAAAAGAACCTCCCCTGATGAAAACTGCATTTAAGAAAAGACACTGATGTCAAAATTGACATCTCCAAAAAGGGACCTCAAGATGTGAATAAAGATGAAAAGTGTCACAATTTAATCATGAATGCAGTTGTGGATGAATGGATGTGAATTACGATAAGCGAGTAATCCCTTTCTGCTTGAGAGTACATGCTTGCTCTGTTCCATCTTTCCCTCAAGAAATTTATAATAATAAAATATGTGTATTCACCACAGTATGGTTTGTAAGGTAATCCAACTGGTAAAAGACAATTGAGTGAAAGTTTCATGTTGCGTTGATTGTTGGACGAGGGAATGCTGCTTTATTCGCAAAGGACTTGTTGCCGTGTTCCAATCTTCAGAATTCAAGCTTTAACTTCGTGATTTCTGGTCCTATTTGGCCTCCTCCCTCCTGGCAGGAGCTTCCTTCACCTAGGTGCTGGACTGAGTGTTGGCCTGAGTGGTCTGGCGGCAGGCTTTGCCATCGGCATCGTAGGCGATGCGGGTGTACGAGGCACAGCACAACAACCTAGGCTCTTTGTCGGCATGATTCTCATCCTCATCTTTGCTGAAGTCTTGGGCTTGTACGGTTTAATCGTCGCCTTGATCCTGTCGACCAAGTGAGCAGAGCGTTTGGGGTCAGCAGTAGCGGGTACATATTCTCACAACAATATTAAAAAAAAAAAGAAGAGAAAAACGACACCACAAAAAATTACAAAATTTTTAGAAACCCATCGTCTAATGTCCCGGCTACACTTTGATGCGTTGCATTCATGAGAGTGTTTTATTGAATCCCTTACATGACATGTAAAGATAAGAAATCACTACAAGTTACAAAAAGCAATGGAAGATCCTGTGATGTTCACTTTAATATTTTAAGTGTGGCCTCCCTGTGTTAAATGTTAATGTTAAAGTGCATGTCACAGGTAGAATATATTGTAATATTAAAGAGTATAACCTTCCCATTGTACAGCCATTTCAGTTTTGTTAAAGAATTTAATGTCATGTCATTTTTTTAAATGAAATTATAAATCAACCATAAGAAAATTTGGAGTTACAGATTAGTTGCAAGGAATTTAAAGCAAGTGTGAGATAGAGGGAACCTACACGCGGTAGGGTGATTGCGTGCCATGCAATGCATAAGGAGATATTTATTCAACAAAAAATTGAGATGGTCTAAACAAATTATGAATGCCACAAAAAGTCTGATGCGCATAACGGGGGATGGCAGACAATGGCACAAAATCATAGTGAAAATCGGTGTTACACAATTTGACAGTACTTGTTCCTACATTCTCTTACTATTTTTAGTTTACAGTTTGCCCATTAACAATTTCTTGGATAAAAATATTTTTGAAGTGTTATCTCTGAAAGATTTGGTTGGTTATAAACTTGGCAAAATTCAGATTACGAACATTTGAAACAAGTAACAATTTAATGTACTTGTCGGTAGTTAAAATTGTGGCGAGTTGATTACAGTTCCTCTGTTTTGTTACATTTCAGAAGGGGTCAATTTTACAAGTAGACAGAATTCATTTGTTGTGTATAGAATTGTAAATTGTCCATACTTTAGCCTGTAAATTGCAGCACAGGAAAGAGGCCATTTAAATGACGATGAATGGGCTACTAAAGCAATATTATTCTTTTTTTTTTCTTTTCTTTTTTTCCTTTTTTTTTTTGCAATTCAAAGCTGCCATTATGTTAGGCCATGTGTGTTCTATTTTGTAGAGCTGCTCAAGCACAAAATTTGCTTAAGCACAAAAAAAGTCTGCTTAAAAAACAAAGGTTACCTGCACAAAACACAAAATCCATGTGATTGTCATGCTAACCAAAAGACAGGTGAATACCATTCCAAACCAATATACATCACATGGAGTTTTGGCTGGTAACCTGATTCTACAAGCAAGTTTTTTTTTCACGCTTAAGCAAATTTTGTGCTTAAGCAGCTCTATGAAATTGGGCCACTTTATGTCTGAACAAAAATAGTTAAAAGATTGCATGCTTAATAAGCATTTCCATGGAATTTTCATGTTAAAAGGCCCCAAGTACTCCCAGCAGATTTCAAGGCCAGATGCATACGAAGAAACATTACAATTATGCCTTTAGTAACTGCTGTACATTCTATCTGAAACTATTCATAATATACAGATGTAAACTCAGTATCACTAATCAAAAGAAACCTTCATTACCTAATTCTTTTTGCCCCCTGTTCATTCCTTTGTATGTAAGCCAGTGTCATCATAGATTTTGGATGCATTGCATTGATTGACAAATCCCCTCTTGCTGCATAATTAGTTGATAGAGTTATTGGTACTGCACAGCTCCTAAGAGGTTCATGTTGTGAACAAGTGTACATGTAGGTATATCTTGCCTGCCTGGGTTAAGTATGGAGCACCTGATCTGCATAAATTGAAACACTTGTGAAATCCCCCAGTATACATGTATGGTGTTACGTGCTGTTATGGAAAGTGTAACATCAGCATAGCATCGACACTTTAGTTGTGCTGTTGATTTTTATATCATACTCCAGATATCCGAGTTTTGATATGCAAGTACTGTGCACGCACACATGTATGAACAGCCTACATTGCGTAGCATGTGATTGGGACTCTATTAATGCTGTTTTCCTCTGTAACTTACATTCCTTTCCAGTTGTGTGTTAAAGCAAAAGTGTGGATGTTCCATGTTTTAGAACCAAATGCTATGTGTTAACCATGAAAGACCGAAAATAACACGAACTTAACCTGTTTAGGAATGAGTCACAATTCTTGTCATTTGGAGCCCAGACTACAAATTGATTCAAAGGCAAAGTAGGAACAAATTGATCATTACCTGATCAGAGACATCCCTGGACTGCTCAAGTACATGTATCACATCCTGTGGTTGTGGCTTTTTCACAGAGCCTAGTACAGGGATGACTTGTAATTGATACATGTCATTTCCAGCAACTGAGGAACACATTCACAAACATATTTGCTGGTAGACCTAGTGAACCTTGAACTCCCCAACACTCTTTGTTGAGATCTGTAACGGATACTTGGTGTTGGACCTGGTGGCAGAGTCACAAATGTTGGTGTGGGGGGGAACTGTGTACAAGCATGCAGCATTTGAGAAATCCATTCCTGAAGTGCTACAAGTGTTGTGCGTGTTTAGGCTACATTCAAACTACTTGGCTGTGGCTTGTAATTACTGGGCAGTCTATGGCAGTGGCCACAGCCATTTCCCATAGTCATGTGTAATTTCAACCCACATCCAGTGATTTGGACATGGCTTTATAATTCACTTCCAATGCATTGTATTTCACATGCCTTTGCAGTGATGTGCATGTGTAGAAACAATGTGTTGTCCTAGTCTGTATTGTGGTCTGGTTCTAAACCACACAGTGTCGAAAAGTGCACACGGCTTTCTTTTCAATGTTACTCTGAATTTTCATGTCAAACAGGTTAAAGGGAGACCAGTGAAACTCTGGTTAGAGTTTTTAAAAACAAATGGCAAGTAGAAAGAGGTCTCATGTAGAGATTCCCTGTAGACATATAATTGTTCCTTTTGTTATGTAATCGTGGTTGTAAGTCAAGTGTTAAAATATCAAATACTTTTAGTATATAATACGTAGTTCTCCTTACAGCTTCCACATAGTGTCCATGGGTATGGTGTATTGTATGGCTAATCTGTTGAAGACAAACTGATGTAAATGTACTGTTGATATGAGTCTATTTCCTGCAGTCGGTATATATCAGGAAGTTACAATAAAGTATTGTGATCAGTTAAGGGTTTCATTTCAAGTACAGAAGTTCCTTCTTGACTGCATTGTCATGCCTGATTATTTTAAAGCTTTGTCTAGACAAAACTCACGGAGGCGCTAGCATCGTGGTTTTCAAGAATTTTCGTTCTGAGAGTAGCGTGTGAACATTTTGGGCTCTGGAGAGATTTTCGGCGGGTGAAAATACCCCTTAAGAATCGCATAGAGCATAGAGGGAGAAACGGAAACGGCTGAAGTGGAAGTAAGTCTACGTAAGCAGTAGCAGTTGCATGAATAGCCGTGCCCTTGTGTGATCCTGACCGTAGGAAACGTCGTTGTGTGTAAGTGCCATCTCGTACTTCGTTCCAAATATAATAATGACAGAAAACTTGGAATATAACAGCTTGTATATTTGGCACTGTAACGAAACTCACTGAGTGACCCCCCCACCACCACCACCACCACCATCTTCTTGCCTTCCCCATACTCTCTAGCTAATTATAGAATGTATGTTTTTTCCCCAAGGTCGTCTAATGGTGTAATGATGGAGGAGGGGAACATGATTTCCTCGTCGAACTAAGTCCCAACCACCGCCCCTCATTTGAAGTTTTAAACTGCACAAACCACAGTTTGAAGAAAACTGTGTGCGCCCCGGATGTCCCTTCCAAAGTTACCCTTCCAAAGTTTGAGAGGGGTAGGGGTTCCCCCTCCCCCAAAAAGAGAAATAAGAAATGGGAGGGTAGAGATGGGCTAACGATTAGGTCGAAAACACGTTACAACAACAACTCCACCCAATGAAAATTGCGTTCAACCGTTCTTGTCTAGCTTGACAGTTGACTGAACAGACATTTCGATTTTCCAGCTTTACCTCGGCATGTAATATTAATAGATGCACATTCTCACTTTATTCACTTGATCATTACGTGCGCATGTGCATGTGTGCAGGCGTACAGTATGGCACGCCAAACGCTTAAGATTAATTGTTCCATAAATATGCCTCGTATTTTTAAAACTGCAGCCTATAGCGTTATGTGCGACGTCCAGCAGGCTTTTGCGATGTTCTGCATAAATATGTGCAATATCCGATGTGTGTGCGTGATGTTTGAACTTTAATTTTTGTAAGAAGCTGTTTATTGGTGTGCACTCTTTGAACAATTTTTATTTAATTCAAAATGTGTGCAGTAGTTTATATTTTATGAGCGATCTTTACGAATAGGTTTGATGTTCTATTTTCAAGCTTAAGTAGACGTCTGGAGATCGTGCTTGTTAGGGATCCAGACAATAAATACTGAAATGTGGGATGGCAATGAGAGGTGATGGGTAATTTAGTCGTGCAAAACTTGGCCACAGCTTTATAAAAACACACGGCTGTATGGCCCAGAGAATATCAGCCTTTGTAGCCGCTTTCCTAGGCGGGTCTTGTCTATCTATCGCTCGGTCGGTTTCTGCGGTAAGGCATTTATAAAAGCAACGCAGCGGGAACCGGTCGTTTAACAAATTTCACAAGTGCGGTCCGTCACCAGAATTTTATTTTTTGCCTTGGACTTGACCAAAGGCAATAGGATTACCTGCTTAGTTAAGGGAGGCTATTTTCAACACAGGAGGTGGTAGTTCACATGCATTTATAGGTATGATCCCTTCCAGACGACCCCGAAAAGTTCACGATTTTTACTTTCACTGAACTTTATGCATCCATCCAAACGATTGAAATGGAAAATTTAGTTTCATTACTCAACAAATACTGCAATAAACACTACAAAGGATAATCGCTTCAGACAAAAATCTGCAGGTGTGTAGGGGAACAAAATTTCACAACTCCCGCCAACCCCAGTCCACGTTACTCACGTCGTTTGAATTAGAAATAGCGCCCACCTTTCATCTCAGGTTTACACTACAAGTTCACTGAACAAAACAGTGCAAAATCGCAGAGAAATGACGCTTCTTGGTGACGCTCAGAAGTCTCAGGAACCAAGTATCAGTGCGTGGTTCACTGGAAATAAAAAATAATAATCACAAGGAAAACTTTTTGTTCACTGTCATGAGTGTTTACCGAGTCATTTTTCTTAATCCTCACTCCCCTCATCGTCATCGCACGTTACTCGAACCGTTAATTTGATATAGCGCCCTCCTTTTATCTCCGGGTTGCTTTAAAAAGTGACATTGCGTACAGGTTGCAGGCATGCAGGCATGGTTCGGATGAAAGAATGCCATTTCAATAGAAGCTCTAACCGCCTCTTTTGTGGTCAGGCAAATAATTATCTTGATTTCGTCAAGCCAGCCTGTGCAGGTCCTTTCTCTCGCGTTTCCCTTCGATCATTCATTACAGGAATGTTTACTGAAGTGATGGTGTCTGTTGGACGGCCGAAGTTTGTCACTTTTCTGGCCAAAATATTAGTCCGCAAAGTATTCTGAACTCCAACCTCCGGACGTCCCCACATTTTTTTTCTTCTCAGACACTGGTATCCTTAGGATTCGACGATCGTACCAAAGCTGGAAGGAATCCAGTCTTTTCCTATCTGCTGACTCATCTTCCAGGGTTCAGAGCCATATAATACCACAGCAAGGGCTGTTGATTTTACGAATCGAACCATGGCAGGAGTCTTCTTTTCAACAGCGTTGCTGTTTGAACTACACTCCAAGCTATTGGCAGTCTGCACTTTATCTCCTGGATTCAGTAGTTTTTTATGTTAATGATGGAGCCTATAAACTCAAAGCTTTCCATTTCAATGCACTATCAAGAGAAAAGTTTGCATCCGCATCATTCCATCCTTCATCTATAACCGCAACTTTGGTCTTCTTTGTGTTAAGAATTAGTCCCTTCTGTTTTACTGCTTTCAACAGATCCATTAGTTCCCTGCTTTTGTAAACTAGGGCGGTATCGTCTGCATACCTGAGATTTGTCATTCGTTGACCACGTAAAGTAAAACCTCCGTGGAAGTCTTCCAATGGCATCTGTCATGGTACTCTCAGCATAAACATGTAGATATTGAAGAGATGAGGAGAAAAACTGTGCCTTTGTCTGACGCCTCTGCAAATTTGGACCCAGTCAAACTCGGAGTAGCCTATTTTCTTTCTTCTCATCCTGACGGCAGATTCTTGGTTTTCGGTACAGCTCCGCTACATGAGCGGGGAAACCTATTCACCTTATGATGTTCCACAAATCTTGATGGCAGACACATTGGTCATCGCAAATATATATAGATTGGACATTGCACCTCATAAAACAAAACATTGAATTTTGATAGGTTTGGCGTGCTATAGTACCCTGCGGGCAATTCCGTGAGTGATGCCGCCCTTCGGCCTTAAATTGTAAATAGCACCCTCTGTAAGCAGGGCATGCCCACAACCGTGCTTCCGCACCGTGAGCGCTACTGCCCAGGTTTGAATTTCATTTTGGTCAGGAATCTGGAATCAAACTATTAAAAAGCGTCAAACAAAAAGGGACGGGAAGGAATGCATTTTCTCCATCGAACTTGTATCTCTTTGAATATCAGCCCAGTGTTATTTGTGTTTATGCAAGGGCACTCTCCGAGTATTGATACAAGAATTTGATTGAGCTAAAGCGCTGCTGCTCACAGATTCTGTGTGTTCATCAACGTGTCTTTAAAGATTGGGCTGCCAGTAACAAGCGAAATCGTGCGGGGATATAAGGCTACAAATCTTTCCTCAGGGGGTTTGTCTTCGGCCAGCAGGGGGTTGTGATGCGGAATTTGTGATGGGAACGGGCATATCAGTGGCGTAGCTAGGGCTAAATTGCCGGGGGAGGGTACCCACAGACATAAAATACCTATTTTGTGTCTGTGGGGACACCCGGGTTGCACATAATAATAAATTTTTGTTCAAGGGGGCACGGCAAGAAAATAAACTGCTTTTGTTTCCTTTCATAACTTGGTATTGTACATTATAGTTGGCATACGGCGGCAGTCTTGGCAGTCGGGGAGAGCAGTTTGAAAATATCCCAAATTCCACCTTCTGTACAAAAAGTACGTGTTATTATAAGAAGAAGGAAATAATTGAGGGGGGGGGGCTGAGAGGGAGTAACCAAACTGTGGTGGCGCCTCATTTCCATTCCAAGTTCTGATTGGCCAAGATAACTTCTTAAGGCCTGTCATTTCGGCAAATGTGACGTCACAAATAGCGCAATATTTACGCTTGCGCAAGTGTAATTCTCCAAGTTTTTCACGTCCGCCTAGCGCCTGCGGGCCCGGGCCTGAGCTAGCTGGCCAGCTAGCTCCGCGCGACGACGCCGCGCGCATATATATGTACGTATAGTACGTGTGCAACGTCATAGTAGTAGTTAGCTTTGGTTGCTGCGCCGTAGCTGTGCAGTGGGCCTACAATTATTGTACAAAAGTATTCACTCAGATTACGTCTGTTGCCTAACGTGCTTTCGATGTCACGTACAGCGTGAAGATTTCCAAAATCAGAGAATTTGGTTGAGCCATGAAAGGTAAGGTGTTTTTTTCCTGTACGCGCAGCAGCAAGTTACCTCTTATTTAAGACATTGTCAGTTGGACCATGGTTTTGCCACCTCCGTGGTTGGACGACGCAGTGTACCTCTACCGGTATGTAATCATTCTCCGACGACCACCGCAGTCAGTCCATGGACGGTACTCCTTGGATGGCCTCAACGTACATGTACATATAGGCCTACTCTGCTAAAATGACCAGGAGCAAACGACTCAGAACCCACGTTGGGCAACACCAACCTTACAATGTATAGAAGGCCTTCAACTGTAACATGTATGACAAGAGTGCGTTTTTTACAGTTGCAGGAGGAAACATTAAGGGCCTAGCCCCGGTCGTATGTGAAGGCATCAGTGACCGTGAGGGCATAGCCGTGGCTAAAGTTTGTGTCTTTCCAAAATGTCATCATGTAATTCAGGAAATGTTTTGCATTTGGGCTGTCCTAAAACTTGAGTTTCAAGACAGCTTTTTCTGCTCTATTAACTTAGCCTAGGCATACATGTAGGCATCTATTTCTACAGGTCTCTATGGTTAAGCTGCTAACTTGTGTCCCTCAAGTTTGATCTTCCTTGTTTCTATCTGTCTATCCAAAATACATTTCTGGTCTGCACAGATAATTTGACAGTGTTCGTTTCTCACAAGTTACATTGGTACTTTTCAAACTAAATTTATGGAGGATGTAAAATCATCCAAATAGGCCTAATGTGTGTCCTACAATAGAAGTCTTAAATGTATGGAATGTTTGGAAACTTTTGTTTGACTGACACAGAAAAAAATACTCCAGGTCATGAAAAAATTAGGCCAAGTTGTTATTTTTGTGGAAGATGGGAGGACTGAAACATGATTTCACTTTTGACGTAAGCAAATTTTGCCAAGAAAGGGAATAGATTTTCTTGACCATTTTGCTGATAATTTTGTTTCTTTTGAAGCCTTCACTCTGTCTAATAGTCGTTTTCATTTGCATAATATACAAGTAGCTACGTTGTTAGAAAAAGTCAAAATAATCAAAAATCAAATTTCAGTGGGAAAAAAAAAGAAGAAAAGAAAAAAAGAATGGAGGAAGGCGGGGGGGAGGAATCGGGCAAAGAAGAGAAAGTAATTACTGTGTTAGTATGTGGTATTAAAAATAGTCCAGTTACAGCAGTTTATTCTTGAAGATATAACGTTTCACACATGGACGGACACTTTGTTTCTTAAATGTCAAAATTAAATTCAAAACACAATTGAAAATTACCTGCAATGTATTAAATACTTTTCAGTTTAGTTTTAAAAAATTTCATCACCTCTTAAAAATGAATGTAGTGTAGATAACACTGAAATTTATTTCAGAAAAATATTAACGTTTGTCACTGGCCAGACATCACGTTTGTCACATGGACTGTTAAAACGTATTCACATGGACAGACATTTGTCTGATTTTTTAATTAGAGCATCAAAACAGAATTGGTCTCAAACCAAACTTGTTTGTTTTCAGTTTTCAAAGTCATTTTCTTAAAAAGACTATTTAACTTTAGCTAAAATGAACACTATTGTCACATGGACAGGCATAAGGTTTGTCACATATACATATAACTGGGGACAGACAGTCTTCTCGCTTTCGTTTTAGCATTATGAGCCAACTTTTTCTAATGAACTGTTCGTTATTTTATTTAATTTGGTTTTTTGGTAAATTTATATGTACTGATAAGATACATGTACGCGTAAGTCTTCTAAGACTGTTACATTTAGAGGGAAAATAGTTGTGACAAACGTTACAAAATAGTGGACAGACATTTGCAATTCTTAAAATCAAATCTCACTTTTGTCATTTCATAGAAAAAACAACCACAGATATGATGTACATGTAAATTACTATTGTAAAAACTTTTCTCAGGAAAATGTATGTTTTTGTTCAGGTTATCTGCTCCAGAAATGGCAAACTCAGCCTGTTTCATGTTTGTCACTCTGTGGACAGACACCGTGACGTACGTTATTCCTTCATTAGCTCTCCTTAAATTCCGGTTTAAGATTTATACTTAAAGAAATAAACACCTATAGATTTCGACACATTTCTCGAATCTTATACCAGAAGTACCCATGTTTTAACAGATAAATTGCTTTTCTCTATAATAAGAGTAATATTTTAGATAACCCGAAAAACATGAGTTGACACAGTTACTGTATGTGCATGCCCCACCAGAACCCCTAATATAAGCTGGACATTTTCATCAAGATCCTGATTATTTTAACAACCAAATCCTATTAAACATATCAGTAAAATTGTTAAAGTTTATTTCTTGACTCTCAACACTTGTAAACAAAGAGATGATTTTGGTTACATGTGCAAATGTGTCTCTTAGTGTGGACCCAAATACAAACTAGCTGTCCTGCTGGTAGATGCCATCCTTCTTGTTTACCAACCATTCAGTCCACATGCTATACACTACTCTGGCAGTAGAGAATTCGACAGCCTAAAAATCATAATTTGGTCCGTGCAGGAAATTTTGGGCCTATTTACTGGCCTGCAAACTTTGATGGGCTTGCCACGTAGCATTAGGAGCAGGATGCTTTTCACGAGAATGATTTAAAACTTGCAATTTGGGGGCCCAGTTTTTATTCATTTTACTGCTAACAGTTCTTAATTTAGTCTAAATGTATTTCTTGAGAGTTGAGTACAGTGAGCATAAACTTGCACTTTCAAAGTCCAAATAAATTTTAAAAGCTTTTTGAGAGACCATTTCCATTTCCCTTCAGGCTGTTCTGAATGACTTACTTAACCAATTTTGAGGTTTGTGCTGCATCATACAGTGAAAACAGTTCTATGAGGAAAAGTTCATACTCTTTAAGTTACAGCTCAGTTTAAGAGAAAGGTCATATATCAAAATGCTGTTTAAAATATAATGTAAAATAAAAAGCGCTTAAAAGTTGACTTTTTCACCAGACTTTGCATAAAAGACTGCCACGTTCAGTACTCAGTGGAAAGAGCAAAGACTACTCACACCCACAAGCAAAGATTTATGTGGCCATTTAGCTTGGACGTCATTTTAAAAATCTTGTATTTGTATCAAAGTAGTCACCTCTCTAACATTTTAAAATTTTCATTTGGACAAAGCTTGTTTTTTGAAAAAAGATTATGAGGGCCAATTTTTCAGTGTATTGATTCTTTGATTAATAAATAGCCACAATGCAAGTTCCATCATATACTGGTACATGTACATGTCCAATTTAACACTGTCAGATTTTATGAGCAGCTCTTATAAATGAATTATGAAGTAGATAATCAAGTGCCATCATGCTGTGGCACCTTGGTCCATGTAAGAAAGAGAAGGGAAATCAGATACTACAGACCCATAGCCACCTGCTCAGATGGCAGTGCCAATTGATTGATTTTTGCTAACGCCAGGGCCCGGAAATTGCCTTTTTGTGTGTGAAGCAATGCCTGAATACAACTTGAAATGACATCTGGGGAAAAGGTCATTAATTGTAAAATAAAATGACTTTTGAGCTCCTGGAAATTGGATACCAGGTATTCACAACAGTTCTATCTTCTGTAAATGTTGTTGTGGTAACTATGCATTAGGCTAAGGTTTGCATCAGACTCGGTGATAGTCAGCCAAATTTATGATTATGTTGCCCAAGAATCAAAACCCTTGTTTCAGAAATGAAAAGAATGCGGATATAGTTTACCTCTGCACCTACTCTTGGGAACAGAGGTAAAAATGTTGGCAAAAACAGTGTCAGTGAGCCAGTGTCTGCAACTTGTTGGTAAGAACTCACCCTCTGAAGGTCATTTTGAGATGTGAGAGATAAATAGCTTGGGACAATTCAACTACAGTGCTGTTTGCCAAACTTTTGATTGGATGTTCAACATTGTTATGTCTCAAGGCACTATAGTGACTCTGTTGTTAATCTCAGTTTTTACAGATGTAGGCCTACTTGTTAAAATACAGGTTGCAGTATATGTGTGCATCTGGAGGGTATATTCCACCAAATCGTTGGATTTCTGCACTGCCAGCTCATTAATATTTTGTGATCCCACAGGGTTTTAACAATAATAAAACATACCATAATCAGGAGGATCATATAGAGATATTTCTATAAATCACAAATTTGGGGCTTGATAGTTTCAGTTCAAGATAGTTTTCTTTCACAAAAAGCCCCAACCTGTAGGGCCTATTTTGGATAGAGGCAGGCAGTTACATTCAGAGCCAAGTGCATAGTTTTACTACTATTCTAGGGGTAACTTCGGGGAAAGGTGAATAAAAAAATTGTGTGGCTAACCCCAATAAAATTGGAATGAAAAGTGAGCTTCTGGCCATAATCTTGAATTCCCAGTGAAAAACTGGAGGCCAACCTCTTCCCGAGAATCAACACGCGGTGCTATTTCCGCCCGATCTTGCACTGTTTTCTGTGGGCGCGTATTTGGTGTAGTGCATTCTGTAAAGTAAAATTCAATGTATTTGAAATTGTGCATTGATATGTGAATGTACATGCCATATTTTTGACTTAATAATTTCTTACACCGCACTGGGCTCAGAGGTTTTTGGTGACAGGTGGCATTAAATCCTGAGTCGTGAAGTTGAGGGAGGACAAAGAACATGACCTACGCAAAAAAGTGTTTAATGTTTGCAGAAAGGCTTTACTCCAGGATTTTGTCATGTTGGACAGACTGTGTAGATGTCAAGAAACTTGAGCATCGTGTTTAAATGAAGCATAATGCCTACACTAGTAATCCTCATGTGCTTACAGAAATATGAGTCAACTACATTACATAGATAATGTTCGTTTGGTTTGTCTACAAAATGTACATAAATACCATAGAGCTGAGCACATTTGTGTTTTCACACGAATCTACTATGTGTACAAACATAGTATGAAAAACTTGAAATCTTGTATAGCTTTTTCATGGCTATTTGCATTCAATTTGCATATGTGGATCTATATTATAAAATGACATGCCAGAGCTGACATGCCAAAAAACTGAGCAAGCAATCAGTAAAGTTAGTTTTGCTCCGCAAAATGCACAACGTAAATGCTAACACTGCAGATACAACATTAAATATCATAAAACAGGCTATACACTGTATGTTAATCATGTGATGCGTCACGTAATTTGAGTTTATTATATTCTACAGTATGTTCATGAGTTCATATTGTCTGTGCCTGGCAGGCATCAAAACTTTTTTAATTGGGAAAGGATGAATTAGCGCTCCTGTAAATTTAATAGCTCAGTGATAGTCACAGAAGATAAAAATGATTCACTTGGATTGAATAAGAATCTGCTTAAATACAGCAAACTAGAAAACAAACAACTTAACAAGAAGAAAACAAAACACGCCCTCCAGAAATATTGGGCAAATTGTATGCCATGGGGGAGCGGAGAGTTATTTGTTTTCAGGGTTATTCAATATGCTGTAGATGTGGTGCCCCTGCACCTCTACAGTCACAGAGGAGAAAGGAAACCAAGGGCAAAAGGTTATCACAAGTATGAAACTGGAATGACCCACTGGTCACCATAGAACTATAAGACAAATCATGCTTTAGTACCTGTGTAAAGTTCAGTTGATTTCACAGGTGGCAAATTATTGAGGTGTAAAAATTGCCGTGGGAATCAAGGGGGGAAAGTACCATTATATTCTGTCAATAAAGCAGTCAACAACGACTTTCATTTCTTATTGTCTGCTCTGTCTCTTATTTTCTTATTCAAATGAAGAACAAATATTGATTTGTAGTTGTGAATAATTGATTCAGGTTGGGCTTTAGTTGATGAAGTAGAGGCGTGCATGTGTACGTGCTGTGTCACTTGTTTTGATTGGGTCTGTGGCTGCTCAACGTCACTTGAAATCCGGGATAAAGTCCACCAATTGAAATATTGCTAACGGTTGCCCCAGACCACGAACACAACATCTCAAGTATCCTTCATTTGCCGAGACACACACGCATGTTTTGCCCGAATCCGGTTAACCCATGTGAGAGAATTTATTCCCGACATGCCATTACATCTCTGCCAAACTTCTCAATAATTAATCTAATTGGATCAGGTCTTGTGTCAGCTGTTGTTTGCGTTGTCTCTCATTATTCTTCCCTGGTTCGTGTTAACACAGGCTGAGTGCACTGTTTGCCAGGATGCAGTAGCTGCTATTGATGCAACAGGCCAATGCAAAGAACCTACGCTACGTTGAAAAAAAAGGCAGTCAACAAGCCAATGGATGGCATCATTATGGGAGAACCATCGACTCGTTAGATGTTGTTTCAAGACAAACATTTGCTGGAACTCTCGGACCAATGCTTGCATGAAACTTGGCACAACCCATCAAGCCATTTTTTCCGATAGCGCATAAACACCTAGATCAAACAGGGAGATTGATAATGGCCCTTCTGAGTCAACACTATGGTGGCAGGGTACCGGGGATGATTAAGGCACACAGCTCGGTGCCGAGCACTCGCAGAAAAGCCGACAGCATCCCCACCAGCACGATGAGCGCCGGTGGGTGTGAAGTCACGTTGGATGGCATTCCCATCCTCCCAGAGAACTCGGACCGCGGCCAGGGCTGCAACCACGTCATCTATCACTATGCCAGCCAGGTGTTTGGGAGTTTGCGGCCGGCCAAGAAGACAGACAAACTGTTACTGGATGTGGATCTTAGGTCAGGGAAGGAGCCACCAAAGCTGACAGCAATCAAGGATGAAAGGGCCAAGAGGAAAGTGTACGATTTGGCATTTGATGCTCTAAAATGTAAGTTAATTGTTACCATATTACATGTACTTGTACTTAGGAAAAGTTTCATTTTTCCCCATATAGCAATAACAACTGACATGCATACATTTTTATTCCTTCAGCATGGCTGTTGTGTATTGAGGTCCATTGCATGGGCAGTGCTGGCTGGGTTGTGCTGTGGGCTGTACCTGTAGGTTTTGTAGATGGTGATGTTTGTCATGTGGAGAAGTAATGTGTTTTCGTGGCATTATTTTGCAATACACTGTACCCTATTCCACAAAGCACACACAATGTGGTTGTGATGCTTAACACATTGTAAGTTGGACCGCACAATATGCTTTTTTTTTGGACGTGCGAAAATGACACTGTTTTATAACACATGAAACATGCGCTGCGCACCTGGCCACGTTGAAGTGCATCACATCTTCATGTCAGAACAGTCATCTAAGTTGCTGCATCGTTTTACTGAAAAGCTTATGCACATTTTATTGAGTCTAGATTAAAATTTCAATTTGCAAAGGAACAGTCGAGTCACTTCATGTCATGTGAGTGCAAGATTGTTATGTATCAATTTCATGTAGCATTTTATAACCCAGGCCATAGTCCACCAGACAAGTACATACATATGCACACTGTAATCATCAAACACAGAGCAGTATCGCCTGCCAGATTTACACAAGTCACTAATCTTATCACAATGTTGATCATTGGTTCATTTGTGTTATGTGAGCTTTTTAGTCCCAGAACAAACAAATTTTCTGTAAAATCAGATAACGAAGGCTAAGGAATTATTTAAAAATGTCTGTTAAGCACTGGTATTTCATATCACACCTTATGCCAAGTTGCAACTGAGCCAGGTGTTTCTTTTCTTTTTTAGAAGGCAGCTCATAATAAAATTATCCATATTCAAGTGTTAAGATTTTGTTCTTTCAGTTTTTTAAAGCTGAACTTGTACTTGAAATGAGTCAAAAGCATCCATTTGTGTCTAAACAAAAATGATTTGAACCAGCAATTAAAAGTGTCCAGAACTGATTCGTGGCAAATTGGATTAAAATTCTATCATGGATTGGAAAGGTCACAAGTATTACTTCCAAGCAAAACAAACCTGCTGTTTCTTTTTAACTGATTACAAAAGGCTGTGAGGAAAGTGAGAGTTTCAAGGTAGATTTCAAGTACGACAACACCTGACGTCAATGAATGTGTAATGGACTACCAGGTTCATCACCAGTGCATTGTTTGTTGGCGGTATTGATTTCCATCAGTAGCTGTGTAAACATGTCAACAGCTGATTCCTGAAACAAATATTCAGCAGCTAGAAAGGATTGAATTTGGCAGTAATTGAATACTTTGTCCCTTGGATTAAACTCTCCTTTTAAAAATTTAAAATAGAAAACCTTATATTTTATAACTGAAAATAGTTCAGTATTTCACGGAAAAAAGAGGGATAAAATGGCAGGTCCGACACTGCACACTTAACCCCTTTTGGTTGAAAACCCCAGGTGTCATTTGTACAAACTCCTTTCACAAATTATATTTAGGGGAAAGTTTTTTGGTGCGTCTTTTGTTGGAGTTAGCTCTCCTGTCGCATGAGAAAACTTTGTGGATCAATAAATGCTGTTAATGGCTGTTGTGTCTACAAGAGAGGTCCTAACTCATTTGCCCTGTGTATTTGTCCAGGAAGGAACATTGTAATGTGATGGGCTAGGAAAGTCAGTGGAGTGTACATTGTGTTGTTTTTGCATGTCTCAAGGTTGTACAAACAATCCATCTTAGAAAGCAACTCTTCGGAACCAATTCATTTTGTAACTTGTACTTGATGCCATGGTTTTCTTGAACACCCATGGTGTACCGGTATATATCTTATCTGCATAATGAATGGCGTAGTTAAGACATAGCAATACTCATTTATTTAATCTCCCACCTCACACATTGGTTGATTTATATTCACGTGGGTTTACATCCCCCCAGTCACTGTCAAATCTGCATCACCTTTGAACCAGTAATTTTGCATTACTTCCCTTCAAGCTCAGTAAATATAACATTTGTTCTATAGGCTGTAGATATGTCTGATGCATAACAGACAGCCTGCCTGATAGACAGACAGACATCATCAGCCAGGTCTTATCAATCTTAAAAGAGCAAGTTTCAACTTTGTTTTTTTTTCTGACTACTGCACTTTTAAAAAAGTAATACTTGCACAACCCTTACATGTGTATTTAGTGAGGACAACAGGAATGTGTTTTCCCGGAGCTTGAAATCTGTTCTACACCCTTACATGTGTTTTACGGAGTCGGTGTACATGTAGATCCAGGGGCAGGTTCTCAGATCAGCTGTATGAGAGAATTAGCAGAAACCTGTGTGTTCCTGTTTGCAAACTCTTTGAACAATAATTGCCGCTCGTAACAGTGTTGTGACCCATAAAAGACGGGTCCCCTCTTTGAATGGCATTCCAAAGGAATTGTGTTAGTGAAAGCCTGCAGTGTTATTTCGCAGCACAGTGAGTAGCCATTGGAATCAAAGTCTTGTGAGATCGATAAAACATGACCATTAGAGTATGTTGCAGTGAAGAACTCTGTGATGTTGACATTTAGGTCTACATGTAAGTGCCTGTACATGTCAACACCTACTCGTACGTGTACAATGTAGAGGTCCATATACATGTACATGTGCACGTGTACATGTGTATTCCTTTTTTACCATAACAGCAAACCTTTTTTTCAGGTAAACAGCAAGCCAGTCTTGTATGTAAGTAGGGTTGGTGGAGCAATGGGTAACCAAATAGTATTAGAACAGAAAGTGTTCAGTTCGAAGACTTTAACATGGTCAGTATTTATTTAACTTATAGGGAAATGGCATTTCGTATTTTAAACCCAAGGCAGAATAATGCCAGACTTGAGGAGACATGTCACTTACTAGCTTGGTCTGGCCTGGTTTGCTTTAATGAAAAACTGACAAGTGAGTAGGGGATTGAGGAATTCCAGAAGAAAATAGAGACAGCAGACCTCTTGTAGGTTAATAGGTACATGTATGGACAGTTTGTAGTGGGAAAAGTGTAATAGACTCCTTTACACTGTAGTAGTCCGTTGATACACAGTGAACTCCAAATAAGTGGCTACAGAGATTTTTTTATTTTAAGGCGCAGTGATGGCTTTGCTTCTGTTGCCAAATACGTGTAAAAGTATCTTGTTTTGAATTGGAAAAACATGCCGTTTTTCTTTTCTTTTTCATTAAAAAGTGAGAAAAGATCTTGGGTGGTCGGTAAAATGAAACAAAGTTTTACAGAAGAACTGTTGATTTGGGCTTCATATCAAAGCAAAGATTTTTTTTGCGTAGTGTTCCCCACGATAATTATATTTTCCTGCTCTTCCAGAGTGATTTCATTTTTTTGTCATCCTGTGCCTTGTCATCCCATCCATCCAGCCATCTGTCTCGTCACTTGATCGAACAAAGTGCATAAGTTCCGTCTCCGATGATAATAAATGATGGAATACAGAAGTCATATTAATCTTCCTTATAAATCATTTACTAACCTCTCTCTTGTTCTATCTTTGCTTATAATCTCTTGCTTTCACATGTTTGTCAGTGATGGATTCTTGCCTGGCTCTCTTCATAATGGACTCCGATTTCCATCCTCTTGATTAATCAATTGAATTTTCCAGCTAAAAGTCAGTTTTGGTGTTTTTTAATGCACATGTGCTACATGTATATATATATGTTTTTAGAACTTTTGGCTGAGCCTAATAGCCCTAAATACTAAAAATTACTACTTAGTAGTAAAATGTAGTATTCAACACTGTCGCTTGTAACAGGACATGACCTTATTGTTCTCTGAAGCCACAAAATACAATAGGTTAGGCCCCCAAAAAGTCTCCGGTTTCTGGTCGCCCCGCACATCACCGTAGACCTGCGCATCGGCAAAATAAAGAATATTTTATTTTGCATATAACAATTTCCAAAAGCCGTCAAACTTAAACGTACTTGATCGGCAGGAATTCTGCTACTGCGTAAGTTTAGCATGTTTTTGAGTACTACAAGCCAAATTTTATGCAGAGCTGTTAGACATACCAGTACCAGTGCCACCAGCAGGCATTACATGTATGTTTCAGATGGAATGAATTGGCTTACACCATTTTTTTGAAGGGGGGGGATGGGGTTTGCAGAAATTGTACAGTCATCCCACTTTGCAGTCGGTGATCCTGGACACTTAATGGTGATAAATACTGGATGCACTCATCGGTGTCTTAGCAGCAAAAGGAGAATCTGGGGGAATTCTGATTGATGAGTGTCATTAGTCAGACATCTCTGGAGAAAAATGGAGGAAATTCATATTTGATCTTGACTGTTCTTGACTAATGTCGAGTGCTCTGTATTTGCCATGCACTCAGTCATATGAGGACCTTATTTCTTTTTTCCCCCCACATTAGCCCCCTTATCTCATTCATTCATTCAATTAAACAAAATTTGGATTATTGGCTATGGATAAATTGGGTAGGCTGGCTGCATTGATGTGGTTGGAAATAGCAGTTAATTCTACATTGTTGGAAAGGAAGAAACCTGTTTCTTTAATACATTTTGAGGGGGAACTGAGTCTTTCAGAAGACCTCAAGATACATGTATGTGTTTTCTTCCTGTATGTCTTTATTTGAAGAGTGTGAACCAGTCACAGTTCTAGATTAAACTTACGACAAGAGGGCAAATTGGAAAGGACATTGGTCAAATATTTGAAAGTGGGAGAGTTTTGAGTTGCATGTAGTTTCTTTGAGTTCCTTTTCTTTCAAATCTTATCTTTCAATAATTTTAGAAACATGGAAATGTGTGAAAATTGTGTCTAATTTGTTTTAATTGCATCATTCGGGAAATGTAATCAAAGAGTTTTACATGTATCTTCATGAGAGGGACCACATAAAGGTCTGAGGGGGGCATTTAACTCAAGTTTCCCATTGACTTTAAGGTACAGGTTGTCCCTACCATGCATGTGTGCCTGCTGTATACAGATTTGGAGCAGCCAATTGCATGTACATGTAGCTGACTAAACATAGCACTTAACATGTCCTGTGGTATATTTGCTTAGAACTGTAGAATTGGCTGATCCATCAAATCACTATTTCCAACATTCCTTTGGTTTAATGCAGTAAGTACACATGTAGTTCAAGTGCGTGCAGTTTCAATATAATGCACATGTACGTGTATGTTTGCTTTGGCTGTTAGACAGGTGTTCAAGTGTTGGGCAAACCTGGGACTGTGGGGCACCATTGTATGGAATCTCGCTTTCACTACAGAATTTCCTATGAAACCAGTTCAGCATATTGAAATATGCTGGAGGATAGAACGCTGAGAATACTGGATGTACTTTTTTGTGTGTGTATACAAAAGTATTTGACAGTCGTCAGATGTAAAGTGTTTGCTTATGATGTCTTGTCTGTTCTTGAAATTGAACATTGTGTAGAAATGACAACGAAAACATGTCTCATAGTTCTGGTGCTGATCTGTGTTGGTCAGCAAACACGGTTTCTGTTGATCATGTTGTTTTGTTGCTTCGCCAACTTTAAGCATTGGCATGTTATAGATTATGATCTACATGTACCATACCTTGTTATGCAAAACAAGAACTATGACTCTAACATACCGCATTCATACCACAACTTCATTATGAGACAATGATTTTAACAAGTAGATGTATGATGGTAGTTATTTCGGTAATTTACCCCAATTCACATGAATCATTTGGCACTTCATGAGCAAGTGGGTGTAATTTCCGAAGATTAGTTGATTCATAGAGCAAAGTTCTTTGCTCTGTGGTCTATTTGAAGCTCAGATGGAAATAAATTGTTCGTCCAGTGTAGCGTTACCTATGTTTATACATTTGTCAATTGAAACACAATTAATTAGTAGTTTCTGGCTCTATTCTTACAATCCATTAGCACAATTGGAATAAGGAATGTTGAGCTGAGAAACTTCACTCATTTTTTTATGTGTGTCTGTTGTAATATTAATCATTTACAGTTCCTGTTATAATTTTTTACAAGGTTTGTACATCTTAGGATTCAAGGTTTGTATTGTTAATATTACAGATCAAGCCTTATTGGAGGATATGCTAGTGGACAGTGGTTACTACAGCTATGACACAGTGGTAAGTTCTTTACATGTGAACTGATCATAAATATGTTGCATACATGGAATTGTTCACAGACATTTTTACAGACAACACCTGTTTTCCTTGACTGCAAGGGGACGTTGAAGTGGTTGAAATGGTGCCATGAAATACATGTGTTTTAGGACCTTGACAGAAGTTGCCTGTTTGCTCATTTAACTGTCAGCCTTATTCAAAGATTTATGAAGCTGTTTCAAAATCTTCAGCCAAATGATGGTGCTCACTTTATTAGATTTTTGTGTTTAGTAGGTTTTTCTTTTGTTACAAAAGTCACAGTTGACACAAAGAAACAATTTTTGTTTGTCAACAGCCAGATGAGAATCATAGCATTATCGTGGTCATCCTGTGCGACATGCTTAACCGCCACTTTGCCAAGCGCCTGCGGGAACCCAATGAGCCCGTCATTCCCTACGTCCAGGAATTCGAGGACGACCTGTTTGCGCACACCACCAAGCTGAATGCCTCATTGGCCCGGAATCGGATCAAATTCCAGGCGCGGAGCGTGGAATGTCTGTTGCCAGAGAAAGTCCGCCAGAGGGAGGAATGTGGAACTAAGATGCCAATCTATGCATGGGTTAATCAGCTACAAAACAGGTTAGCCTCAACATAAAACATTGTGGCTTAGATATTCTCGCGCTTTATATTAGCGCAATGCACTTCCATAATGCCTTTGGCTCTTACAGTGGAACTAGGTATACACTTACGCAGGTCTTTGCCAAAGCGGCCAAACTATTATTGTTTTGCCAATTGGCACTTTGGATGTTTCCATATTTCCTCCCTGGTTTATGAATTTATGGCTGTGTGTGACATGGCAGGCATTTCAGTTGGTTGGGTCGTTTGTTTTGAGACACTTCAAATGTGTTTTGTCTACATGTACCCTGATTCAAGGGATTACTTTCCAACAACATACTTGTGACCTCATTCATTTTCCCCAAAACAGTCGCAGAGTTATCAGCAACAATAAGAGATTCAAGTTTTTAATTTGTTGGGTGATCAGGTTTCCCTGAAATACAGTCCACAAGGAGTATGTTTGTGTGCATTAATTTGGGATTACAATATTGCCGAATCCTTTCAAGTTGGAGGATAATTTGCTACGATTACGTACATTATTAACAGTGGCAGAACACCGCTCCATAATGCCTCATCTTCCACTTTGCTGCAGAAGTTTTTGTTTTGCTTCATTTAATCATGACGCAGTATCAGGATGTAACTAGTAATTGCCTAGACTGTGTCTAGTATTACATGGCAATTACCTACAGTGCAAGCACCTGATGTTTAATTAAGCATCCAACAAGGTCTGGCACGTTTTGCTTACAATATATCAGTAATTACTCTTTGGCACAAAACCAGCCGGCCATAGCACCTTTGCAAATGTGCAAACAGCTGAAAGAAAGTCAACAGTGCTGAGTTCAATTGGCCACAGTTTCTTTTGTTGATATTGTCTGGAAATCCTCCAGTGCAGGTTGGAAATTGCTGTGTACAGAGTGAAATGGAGTTTTTTTTTTATGAGTGCCAAATTTCTCGAAAAAATTCGTTAAAGTGGTAATTTTTCCCTGGTCAGATGTCAGATCTATAAATGAAATGTTTCATGCCTTGAGAGTTTCATGACAAAATGTATTTTTTGTGTGTTTGCTTTTTGTCTGAAGATTTGAGCTGTAGGACTACAGTGTATGTGGGCACAGTTACGCTCGGCAGTTGAAAATTGGAAATTGTAATTAAAGCTCCAATAATTTGTGTGATTTTCATCCATTTCTTCATGCACTTGCCAGTATTGCTCAATATTTATTTGTCATTTTTATTACGATCAATTTTAAGGTACCATATTTTCTGTTTTTCTCAGATATGCATTTTGTGCAACTTTCTATAGAGCCTGAAAGTAAAAAAGGTCACGCAGTGAGCTTCCGGAACCCTCACGTGGTCTTCCTATGGGGATTTTACGTTGGGCCGTCCTATCACATTCGATAATTTCGAAAGAATAATTCCTAAGTGAAACCACCCCATGAAACACTCGTGTTGGAATTTTACCTTTGTCATCCTCAAGTAATATTCAGGAAAAAGTTAAATGGAGATACCTGTAGGTTAAAAACAAATTTTGTTAACGACCTTCCACTTCCGGCGATATCGTACCTAGGTCTCCATGTTCATGCACGTTTGTTTTTACTGCCTGTGCTTACTTGAAAATGAATTTGTACAACATTGCAAAGATTTACCTACTTGTAGTGGATGGGTTCCAGATACCATTGAGTTGACATCACACAGTTGTCGAAAGCAAAGGTTAGATAAAAAATTAGAATCTTTCGTAACTGAAGTAGAATATGGCTTTAAGTTCATTACTTATAGATTATAAGACTGTGTAAAATATTTTGATCTGTTTTTATTTCGGCTTTTGTCAACGGACTACCATAAAATTTCAAACTGTAAATGTTCATCTGTGTACGAGACTGCCTCATTGCACTGTTCTTCATGTATTTTAGATTTTTGGAAGTGATGGGTCAATTTTTGGCAGGATATTTCTCTTTTAAGTCAGGTGATTTTCATTTTCTATAAATTGATATACTATCAAATATTTTCCAAAGCCCCTTTTCCGAGTTGGATTTTTAAGAAGTAACTGAACAAAAAAAAAAATTCAAATTCTAAAATCTTTGCACGTTATTTTTCCTATCCAAGGGTTCTGGAAGCATGCCATTAGGGGTCAACTTTCAGGCTCTGTTGAAAAAGATTTGACATCTGCTTTGAAAAGTGTACTTGTAACACTTGTAACACAAGTTTTTGTAAACAACGGAGGGTGCTGCTCCTGTGCTGTCATTCTGGAAGCTACTGCTCCAGTTCAGGAAATTTTCTTTTGAAACGGTGACCCCAAAATGTGTCCAAGGAAATACCTTATGAGAGTAAAAATAATTCTCATCTACCCACCCCCAGTGTGGAAGACGTGATTGAGCAACTAACCCAAGATGGCTACAAGAAGGTCCCTTCTATCAACTCGCTGGGAGAGTACAGCTTCACCGTGGACTCCCAGTGCCCCAATGTTCTGGTCTTTGATGCTCAGAACAGAAACACACTGGAGGATAGTTATCTGGTCAGAGGGGGCAACCTGGTTATTCAGGTATGAGTCGGAGGCATAGTTTTCACTGGCAAATGACAAACAGGGCTTCCAAATTGCTAAGGTTCTGTGCTGTTATCATTTATTTGACAAAAGGGTGTTCAAAATGGACAACAGGATGTCAAAAAGATGGCAGACATCTCTCTGACTAAAACATTGCTTTGTACAAACTCAGTTTTTACATATATGCTCACTTAATGGTGAGGCAGCACACCAAAATTATTCTCTAATATACAGACAGGATGATTTTTAAGGCCAAAAATACAATTCAAATTCATTTATCATATATTTTAAAAAGAAAAATTAATCATCGCCTAGAAAGGAAATTTGTGAAGATGTGTCTCCAATTAAATGGAGTGGCAAAAATGTCATTCCACTATCTTTTTTTTTCAGCCACAGTAACAGGTGCACTTGTTTTGTTCATGTCATAAACACCGTTTGAAACAACAACTGATATTACAAACGTGATGAGATACACATGAATCAGTCGTCCAGCTTTTTTTGCCAACTAATAAGAAATATTGTTTTGAGTTTGGCAAATCCCATTTTTGCTAATAGTCCACATTGCCTTGTCACTCATAACAGTTTCCTTGTTCCCAAAAGTGTACCCGTGATTATGGCTGTGAACATGATAAAATCAAATTTTGTATTCATTGGACTCATCTTTCATTGCCCACTTTGCTTGTTGATCATCCGAGAGAATCCACAGCATTTGGTTGAAGGCAGGTTTTCTTGCATGGTCTCTCTCGCTGGGTTGGATTAGGTCTTGAGGAAACTTCAGCTCTTATGTTCCATTGCAGGAGAAGTTATGGTCAGTGTCTCTCAGAGGATTTCTGAAAAAATAAATGATGTAACTTACCGGTTACCGGTACCTTAACCCCCAAAACCTACATTTTCCTTGTTTCATTATGTAACAAAATTTAAAGTACATGTACCCTGATTTTACCTTCTAGGATAAGAGCTGCTGTCTGGGACCTCACTCAGTCAAAGCCCTCCTGAACGAAGGGGATGATGTCATCCACATTTACACCGGTTCTGGGTGGACGACGGCCCATCTGGCGACGCTGACCAATCAAGAACATTGCACAATCTACGCCTTCGGAGTCAAGAACGAGGAGCACAGCGAACAACTTATGGCCAATGCTAAGAAACTTGGCATACACAGTATCCTTTTGTGTGATAATGAAATGCGATTCCAAGTGATTGCTGTTGCAGTATCCCAGACTTTGGCCAACGGATCATTGATGAAAATTCACACAGCATTGTGCACTCTGCCAACTTTGAACTATACACAGATATTGCACTTGTGTAATTATTTACATCTCTCTGTGCTTCGCATAGCAGCAGTAGTCGAGGATATAGCGCCACCTGTACAATTTCTATTGATGAGCTTAGTAGGTTATCAGAAAGGCCTGTCTGTTGATACAGAAGACATCCCTTTAGACAGAGGAGTTGGGAATAACAGTACTTTCATGTACTGTATATACCTAGTGTCAAATACGACTTTCGCTGGTATGCCTGCTTCTATGTTGATATTTTGTTGTGTTGAATAACATTTGACTCATTTTGCTGCCTTGGTTACTAGAAAGGAATTTCGTTTTCCTTGATTGATGGCCAATTCAGATGTAAAATTCATTCAGGACAACTTCTTTGAGGTGCAACATATTGACAACCGCTTCAAGAATGTCAAAGTGGTACTGGTCACCCCTCACGATTCCAGGTCAGGGGTCACGAACCCTGTGGAATACATTATTCATGAGGGAGCAGGTAAGCCAAAGGCTGCGTTCTTGCTATTTCAGTTAAGCTCAACTTTCCGTCAGTGGTTTGACAGAGGGTATCACAAGTGGACATTTCAGAATCACTTTTGATGACATAATTGTTATTTGATTGTCACTAAAGTTTGTTTTTCAGCAGATTTAGTTTCTTGGATGTTTCTATCCATGGAAGGGATATAGAATCCGTGAACATCAATATTTGCTGTTGATGTATCAAGATCCATCTGTGACTGTTAGGGAAATACATAAAACACAAGGCTGTTAATCTATTAACAATTTTGGGAATTGAAAAATGTCTGTGAAAACATTGACAAACAGGTGCCTAAAATGTAGTGAATTAATTCCAAAGATGTTTACCCTTTATATTTTGGACAGATGCAAGTATATTGGGAGAGCTGTCCCAGGAGCAAATAGACAGTGACAAACTTGATGTCCTGGTGTCTAAACACATGGAACTGCTCAAGCATGCCATGAAATGTGAGACAAAAGTTTGGCTCAGATTTCATCCTTATTGTGGTTTCTCACTTTAAGGAATTCAGCTGCAAAAGGTGTTCAGTTAAGGAACAAAACAATGTGATATGAAACCAAAAATCCTTTGCTTTTCATTTTGCGTGAGCACTGATGCCCACTAATGGTTTGTGGGCCTGAAATAGAACCAAAGTCAGACACAAAGTGGAGGTTTGAGGAAGGGCCGTAGTAACAGGAGAGTAATGTCACTGCCTCATCTTGTTTGAAAGTTACTTTTAAATGCCAGATAGAACCACTTCACAGAACTTCACTCAGTTTTGGCAATTAAGAGAATATCTGTATTGTCTGTGACAAGTTCATCTCTGAGATTTCTCCAATATATGTGTAATAATCTTTCACAGAATTTTCATCTTCCAAGGTGGGATTTTTATAATAGATATTAAGATAACAGAAATTAAAAATAATAGTAAATTTTGTATACGATTGGATCAAAGTGTCACTCTCAAATGACTTCCCATAGTTCCACACGTCCAAGCGGTGGTCTATGCCACTAACTCAATCTTCCGGGAAGAAAACGAGAATGTGGTCACCAAGGTAACGGAGTACATCAACGCTCGTACTTCTACATCGATCAGGAACCCCTTTCGTCTCATCCCCCCTGTCCTGCCTCTCACCCCAGCTGAGCTGGAAAAGCAGCCATCCTCCAAATTTATCAAGATGGAGCCATCAAGTTCAATGGGCGGATGCTTTCTCTCCGTCATGAGTCGTGAGGTGAGGTGACCAGTACTTGCTAACTTGCCGTGTTCTGTACACACTGTTTGAACTGAATCCTGCAGTGGGGATCAGGTTTTGCAAGGGTATTAAAAATCCCAAATAAACCGTGCCAATAGTTTGCCTTATTGTGGGAAGTTTTGAATTGTCCAGGTGGCATTGCCATTCGCATAAATAAGAAAGAATAGCATGGTGTAATTGCAGACAAAGTACCAACCATGCATTTGTATTATGCACTGACCTGTTTGGGACCAGTGCAGCAAATCTGGTCCTTCCCATAAAGGGGATCAAGAAATATCACATCTGAATCAGACCCCAATACCAGACCTGCCAACCTAGCCGTACTCCTTACTGAGGTCAGGCATTACCCCACACATTAGATTAAAAGGTATTTAAATGAGCCTTCAGTTCATTTAAGGAGTACGGCATGTTGGCAGGTCCGCAGTGCATGTGCAATCCCCCTTGTGGTGTCCAGTTTAAATAGGGTGGCATATACAAAAGGCCGTACAAAATCCCCAACAGCAGTTTTTCATGGAAGGACAACTGAAGGGAGAATATCTTTTGCAGTGGTCAAGTTACAAGTTTTGTTGAAATGCTTTTTTGCCTCAATCATATCCGTCTACCTTGTTGTAAGGTCTGTGGCTGTCATAGCCTGGGCTGTTTTAATCGCATGTAAACCCCAGTCGCTGACTCTATGCCAAGAAAGTTTTAGCAGTCTTGTATTCAGAGAAAATGGATTGTAGTAACATTTTCCAAAAGCAAGCATTTGTTGGTTGTTTTAATGAGAGCATAGAAAACAGGTAGTTTTCCTGAGATTGTAGGAGTACATGTTAATGAGGCGTACCATGAAGTAGCTGGACATGGTGGTAAAAATCTGTTTGAACAAGATTGAACATTTTTATGCCAATATTTTGGTTTGTCCAATCCGCTTCAGGATGAGTCCATGAGTGCATCTGATGTCATTGCCCGGGCAGCAGCCAAGGGTCTCTGTTCCCTCCCCCCTGCCAAGGCAACGGCAACAACGACATCAGCCCAAGGGGATGAGCTCAAGCCCAAGAAGAAGTCTTCAAAGACCTCCCAGAAGTCGCTGACCAAAAGTGCCTCAGCCAAGAAGGAGAGGAAGGGGCCCAAGACGTCCAAGAGCCCTACGGCAGACCACCACGGCCACGGGCCAACAGTCAGGAGCCCCACCCTGCTGGTGAAGAAGCCGAGCAGCAAGCGGCTGCGGCCCATCAGAACTGCAAGTAAGTATTCCTGCAGTCCTTTCAGAAAGTCCCCCCTATCTGTCATTCCTATTCAGCAGGACTCTGTACTGATAACGCCACACTTTGCTTACGTGTGTGCTTTCCATTGGAATTTACCTGATCTCCTCCCCCCAAATGTCTCTATAGAAAAACTCACATGTAAGCAAAGTATGGCATCACCAGTACAAAGGCCTATTGTATCCTAGTAAGCAACAACACTTACTTCTGCAGAAACTCGGTTTGTCTTATTTTCATTTTTTTTCATCAATGAATGTAAGAATTTCAGCTGTGGCTGGTTCTGCCTGAGGGGACATTTTCTTTTGCAAGAAAATTCAGGACTGTATTGTTTCCCATAATAATTTTTTAACATGCGAATAGTCCCCCACGACCGCATTATGTCCTGTCCATTGCTACGTCGTTAAAGTCGTGACCAAGTTGTGGAGACCAAAATTTGACTCCATAAAGTTTTTGGTCCCAACAGTTGTGTTTTTTACACGTGTATAATCCCCACAAGGATGGAATAGGTAGTCTGCTTTTACAGTTGCAGGTTTGTATCTTTTTCACTGTATTTGTGGCACTCCTCGTAATGTCCCTCACGTTTCTGTTATGAGTTTTAGAACTTACTTATATAGCAAAAATTGTTTGTTTGAAATGCAGATTTTGTTTTCAGAACTTTTTTTGTAGAAGTTGTCCAATCATTTTGGTTTCCAAAGAAAGATGGTTAAGTAATCAAGTTTGCATAAATGTTCATTGGCATAGAATCGTCAGACATGCAGTTTGAATTGTTAGAAAGTAATGTCAGAAATAGCTGGGTGACAAGTTTTTGAACAGAGAACACATTCTGAGCAAATTGATGCAGTTAAGCAAAATGGAGTTCTTTAAAACTTATTTTCAATTCAGATCCTACCAAGGAAACCTCTTTGTAGTAATGGCATACAGCATATGTGTCCTTACAGTGTTACCTCAGATTTCTTGATAAAACACAGACTATTATACTGACCTGTGTCTGACTGACTTCATGTTGCAACCTCCCTCCCCCCTCCCTGTCAATTGTCTGTCTAGAAAAGGATAGCCAGAAGGGCCAGCGGACGTCCGCCACAAGACTCAGCAAGATTCGTGGGCGGAGCTGAGCGCCAAGCATGCATTACTGATGAGGGCGACCCCCAGATAGTGGCTGTGGGGGGTTGACCTCAAACCCTCTTTTTTTTGTGTGTGTGTGCATGCTGTTGTTATATCGTGAGTACACAGGGTGACTCCAAACAGTATGCTGTGCTACTGATGGCACTGACTAACACTGTGACTGTTTTTTTTTCCCCTCCTGACATAAATCACTAAGTACTAACAGGCATTTTCACTCCATAGCCATGACCAGCTTGTCCTTCATCACGACGCTCCACAGTGTCCGGTTTGCAGTTTTTCACATGCTTTGCTACATCTCTTGACCAGAGAGAACTGAGTATATTTTGAATCGCTTGTGTCTTGACAGCTTTGCACAGTTGCTTGAAGTGTGTTGTCAGAGTATGAAATAAAGCAAAGAAAGCGATCCGATAACACCTGCATGTGTACAGTGGAACACCGCTATAACGAACACGACTGGGTCCACCCTGAATGTTGATACAGCGGTCGTTCGGTATAGCCAAATTAACTGCCGAACGTTTCGTTGCCACGTTGAAAAGCGCTTTTTCTTGTCTAACTGAAGTGCACCCTCTTATGATACTATGATTTGCTATTTTCTTGATGTTTTGCTCTTGTATTCACATTTTAAGTTTCTAGAAATGTATCTGTTAATTATTTTTGTTTTATATTAAATCTTGAGTTACAAAATTGATGTTTAGTTTATCCTAAAAGTCGTGAAGCTACCGCTCGGGATCGATCTCTGATGCATGCTGTGGCGAATCTTGGTTGATTTTCAACTGCATGATGTTCAGTAGGTTTTGTGCACAAAATATTGGGAGCCAAGGACGATGTTCGGTACAGCCGAATGCTCGGTATAGCGGTGTTCGGTATAGCAACGTTCCACTGTACTTGTACAATCAAAGTCATTCTGCCATTATCAACTTTTGATCAGATATACATATACCAAGGTCACACTCTCACAGCTTAAATGCACAGAAATTGGAGTGAAAACATTAACAACACTTTGTTTTGGGGGCATTGACCTTGACATTTCCTTCAGTCGTTTTGTCCAACCGTGTCTGCATTTTGTCTGACAAGTACCACAAAAGGTTGGAAAATGTCTGATGATTGACCATATTGTCTTGCTCAGGTGTCTGCTTACAAACTGTCCTTGTTCTTTGTAAAGTGTGGAGGTACTTCATGTTAACCAGTCTACTTGTTGTCGGACAGCTTGTTGAATTGCATCTGCCATTCTTCATTTTCCATCTTGTTACTAACGCCTTACATTTCAAAACCTCGTCCTGGTATTCCCATTTTGTTCTCTTTTCAAAATCTTTTTTATTGATTCTTACTGTTTTTAGATGTCTGCACTTTTGTAGAACTATACTTCGGTGCTTGCCACTGAGTTTATACACCAACACTTTGTAGAACTATTTTTTCAGCCATGTCTTGTTCTTTAATAGCACAGCATAACAATTAGTGTGTCACTTCACCGGCATCAACTGAAACAATTGTTGGCACCTCTTTACTGAATTCTCTTTCCATGAAGTAATTTCAGAAGTAGAGTGTCTTATTTTTTTGACAATCAGGTTCTTTGGTTTTAATTTGTACATTTCAAATATGCAAGATCAAACCTAATGGGCATTGTGAAATTTGCCTCAAAAATGTAATTTTTTCCCCAGGCCTTGGTCGAGAGGGCTTAAAATTTGCTATCTAAAACCAAAATCTCCAGGAATTTGAAGGTTGCTTCCAAAGCCCTTTTTCTCTCTAGGCTTGGGCTTATTTCAAGACAACTCTCACTGTGCATATTTCAGTATTGTAATCCTTTTGCTTTAGTATGTTCTCTTTACTAATGGAAAAAAAATACTCAGATATACTGTAAAACCTAAAATCTGTACTGACACTGGAGCACTCTTTCCTTTGCTGATCCTGTTTCCGGATCCCACATACACTTGACTACAGCACTGGCATATTCTCTCCACAGCTTTGGACAATGCACTTCATTGCTTCAAATGAATTTATACACTACCAAGTTTGTGCTTTGATTGTATACAGTGTTATATTAGGATCACACTGCTTGGAAGCTAACCCTAGAGTGTGGCAATGTTTGTGAGACAGCAAAAAAAGATCATGATTCTTTCTTATTTAGCAATATCAGAGTAGGCCGTGATTCTAGAATGGTTGTGATCTTGGAACTGGCACTTCATCATCTCAAAAAGTGTCATTTGAAATTTTAAGTGGGTTACACAAGTGGGTTTATTTTAGAATGAGTCTGTTTGAAAATGAGGCATGGGAAATTCATAAGAATTATGGGACTTTAAAATGGATGGACATTTTATTTCACTTTTATGGGACAGCCTTCACTATTCTAGTTCATATGTGTGCATTCACATAGTCATTGCTCACTAATATTCATTTGTTTATACATGCAGGTCTGATGTTTGCCCACCACTTTACAAACTCCTCCACCTCTGACAGGCAACCCTATGGTGTCCCCATGACCAAAGCATCCTTAGTGCGAATGCAGCCCAAAGCTGAACCGGTACGCCCCCACCAGGAGGCCATCCATCATCCCAAGCCTTTCCTGTGATTGGACAGTTATGCCAGACATGGTAGTGGCCATGAAAAATACCACATGCCCATTAGCTTGTGGCGGATGCATTCCGTCAGTCAAATCTCAAATCAAAGTGCAGTATTGGCTTGGGTTGCAAGTTTGGGTGAGCTAATGGGAGGTTCATTTGCACAGTCATTCACAAGCTGAAGTGGGGGTGGCTATGCAAATTTCACAGTCATTCACAAGCTGAAGTGGGGGTGGCTATGCAAATTTGCACAGTCATTCACAAGCTGAAGTGGGGGTGGCTATGCAAATTTTACTCTCCCTATCTGTTCAATGTACTGTCTGAAATTTTCAGATTGGTTGATATGGCTTTAAATCTTAATAATTAAATTATTTTTTTCACTGATATTTGGGTTGAATATTTACAGCTGAATCCGTCTAGTTCAGTTCAAAAAAAGAAACTAAAAAAACAGGGTCTTCAATCACCATTCCTTTGTGACAATTCTAAATTTGAATTATAAGGAGTGGCTTTATCTTATATTTAATCAATTTGGGGTCAGGCTGATGGTTTCTGTGAGCCATGAACTTGCTTTATTTATTTATTTTGTTTGGAGTATTAGGGGCAAAGAATGTTCAGAGGTCAAATCTCTCACACGTTTTGCAAGAGTGGGCCATGATTGGTGTTTGTTAAAAAGCCTGTGGAACAAAATATCTCTTATTCATTCTGTTTTTGCTTGCTGTTTGTACAAACTCCTGTTCAGAGACCATTTGCGTCAATTCAGGTGATAAGTGACAGCAAAATTTGACATCTTTACGCCTTAAACTTCTTTGTTGTATATTATGCAGTGATCACCTTGAAGCCACAAATGTTTCAGATTTGGTACAGGATTAGAAATAGAAGCAGATTGTTTGCATTTTTCTTCAGGGTAATTACAGTTGTCTAGAAACAGTTTTTTTTTGCAGTTTTTCCATTTAATAGTTATGTCTGCACTTTGATTTGGTACCCCAAAAGTCTTGTGGTTGTGCAACAGAAATGAAATTACTAATTTTGTATGCAAATTTATTTGAAACATTTTGCTCTTCACTTTATACATTTATCACACTGATTTAAATATAAAAAAATTCACCATTTGTTGAATCTTGAAACTCACTGACACGCTTGGTAAAGTATATGTTTAAAAGTAAATAGGTTTATGTTTCTCCTCACTAGCACATATGCAAATGTATTTTTGATCAAAATTTATATTTTTATTTTGCAAAGTATTCCTTTGGATTGCCCAATATTTCACATTTCTATTCACGTTTATGCATTTTGTGTTGCCAACTCATATTAAAATTTGTGAATGCAAGACACAAATGAATTGAAAAAAACAGTTTAAAATGTGATTAGAACCTCAGATTGAACCAATAAAATGTATGGTTTTTGAAATTGTAATTGACACGGAGAGAGGTCTGTTAACGTGCCTTGTTTTGAGCTAGTGGCTGTCATAGAATGTACATTGTTAATATGATGGACCTTTTCTACTCGTCACATCAGACAAGGATGAGATAAGGGGATGAAGACAAATCCACCAAACATCCAGCTGAGGGTTGTAACAATGACAATAAATTGGGGCTTTTCTTTTTAACAAACTAGCGCAGCATGGGTTCTCTCCTTAATAGATCTGATGTGAATCTTCCACCACGTGTGTGTGTGTGTGGGGTTACAACATATGACCCCTAAAAATCAAGAATTTGTGGTTGACGAATTCTGGAACCAGGAAAAATCGCGAGAACCACACCCCTGCAATACAGGAAAGGAAGGATCCATATTTGAAAGTCGTACAGTACAAAACCAATGGAATTATTTTTCTTTTCAAAATTTTGAAACATTAGAGAACAAGGCAGGCCCATGCAAGGTAGTCCTTATTTTTGCCAGATTTGGTTGTATTTTTGATTTTGCTGTGGTTTGTATCACACTAATTACAGAATGTTCCCAACCCAAGGTCTGATGCACCAAATGAATTGGTGACTTACATTTGACTTCTATTGGGGGAAGGGTACTTCATTCTACAATTCAAGTAGGATTCCAGAGTTAAAAGCACAATATACATTGACATTTTTTGTGTTTTTTTCAAGCTGAATTGATGCATTCAACAAATTCACTCAGTAATTGAGGAAAAATAATTGAGATAAATTTATCAATAAAGAGTTAATAATTAAATCTAATTTAAATGCAAAATATAAGCTGCACAGTTGTTAAATCAATGTTTCAAATTACTCTGCATGATTGGTTTGGAGTGGCAAACTACAACAAAAGCCTCCACCAGATCACCTCGCTTGTGATCCTTAATCAAATTTCCAAAGAAGTGACTGTCAACATTTGGCATACTGGCAATTCTTCATGGGAAGTCATAGTATGCTTGATTTCAATTCATTATAACAGGTTGGGACTTGTCTAGTAAGCAAAGTTGTCCCAAATGCACTCAACAGAAAATATCCATTCATTCCTTGAATTACCATTTGTGGTTCACTTAAAAACATACTTCAATAATTTTTTTTAACTAGTTAACACTGAAGGACATCTAAAACCTTCAATTTTCAGCAAAAGTTCTACGGAGGACTGGTACTTGTTGATACAATTTGCCAATGCATATTCACAGGGGCAACTGATGGGTTAAGCCATCAAATTTCCAATTCAACTTGTACGTACAAATCCAGGAAGGCTGACCCTGTGTTTAAGTTTGCTGCTGCACACAGCCTAATGTAACAAAAATCACTCCATGGTGGGGCCTTGGAATGTTGCAGACAAAGCTGTGGTGAGACTTAGGCCGTGTCCGAATCACTTGGCCATGGCCGGAATTTACATACGACTTGATGGGAACTGGTCGTGGCCACTGCCATAGGCTCGTGCGTACTTTCCGGCCGCAGCCAAGTGATGCGGACATGGCCTTACTGTACAAACAGTGTACAGATGACTCCATTTAACATTTGACACAAGTTTAAAATTGGGCTGATACATCTTGTCTTGTTCGTTGTGAAAATCCCATTGGCAAGTTTTTAAAATATACCCAACAGAACTAATGCTAGTTAATACAAAAAATTCCTACATGTGATTAGAAGACAGGGATATCAAAACGGTGAGTTGTCCAAATCGATCCCTTGGCATAAATGCTCACATGGAATTGGAATTCCAGCCGCATGATGCAAGGAAGAAAGAACTTCTCTCTCAGTCTGCTGTCTGCAGAACTCAATGATTGTCAGTATTGCAGTTGAGACCTTCGTCTTGCCTCAAACTGGTTTTACTGTTTTGGCCGGAGAATTGTGCATGTGACATGTGCCAGCAAGCACAGCCAAATAGCTGTAGCAGTAGAGGGCGCTATATTCACAAGAGACGAACTGCTACAAAACCAGTCTTGAAAATCTTGGCAGGCCTACCCGAAAAATTCTGAGCACACCTCACGCGCTCAAGTTACCATGCACACTGCCAAAAACCGCAACTGCATGGCGCGCAGTTTTCGGCAGTGTGCGTGCGCAATCATTCATGGTAACCTGAGTGCGCCTGCACGGTGCACCGGCCAAACAATTTAACCAGTCTTGGGGCAAGACTACATCAAGACCTCTTAAGACCATCAGAAGACCAACACAGGACCTGCAGTCTGAATTCAACTCGCAAGGTATTCAGATCAACTGTCACAAAAGTTTTCTTTTGTCACCGTTCACCCTGTAGCTTGTGACTGGTCTTGTTTCTGGTGTTGTCTACAACACTGGTGCTTGTGGGCAGTCCTCTGGGAGTGGACTCGTGCAACTCATCATTCACGGCCCCATAAGCAGCAATATGCAATTGTACCCGATGTCGTAGCTTATTATTACTGCAGCTTGACTTTGTCGTTGATGCGCCACACTCCCAGCATGTATCTAAGCCTGATCAGTAACAGATCCTTGCCCATCTGGAGCCAGCTGAAAATGGGCACCATCTTTGATCCTGAGAACAAGAAACCACCCCAAAATCAAGACAATTTTTGTAATGGAACAATGACAATTTTGTGTAGCAGATCACATTTTGGGGATGCTATTAACTGTTTGTTCTGGTAATTCGAAAAATGTTGACTTGACAAAAATGTTGACTCAATCTTGGACAGAAATGGATGATTAACTAGTCAAACAGAGCTCCGTTCTTACGTCATGGGGCAGATTCTGCCTTGTTCAAGTACCTTGTTGACAGCACTTAAGATTCGATAAAACACATTTGCTGGCCAACCACTACAACTGTTTCCAACCACCACAACTCCAACTGCTTCTTACTGTCTTTTCTCTACAGGTGTCTTTAGGCTTACAAACTCCAGTGCCTGGGGCACTTATGGGGAATCCATGGTTTTTTCAGCAGAGATAGTTAATAAAGCAATAATCAGTTGGCGAGACGTAATGATTCTGCATTTCCAAACAATACTGACCATCTATTTCATGCCAGTTTACAGCAACCTCTGTTATAGGTATCTTCAGTGCCTGAGCTAGATACAGTAACTCTACATCAAATGCCCTGTGAACAGAAAAAAATGGTTAGTTATGCCACCATCATTCCACAGAGAAAAAGCAAATCCACTAACAGCTGGCTGCGAATATTTCAAACTGCAGTGTGCTAAGAACTGGCAAGGATACCAACTGACACAGCTATCCTGGTACTGAAAGATGTAGGCCAAGATCAATGCCCTTCAGTGACAAGAAAGGATGAATGACATTTTTGAAGTATGTACAAATAAATTACTCTCAGAATGCAGTTTGGAATAATGGCTGCCTCACTTAAAATCTACAAAAAATCACATTTCAAATTTCAGAGCTCAAGGATACATGTGAACAAGTGCTCAGAACTCTGTCTAATGCCATCCATTGTGACTGCTAAATTGGTCAGCTGACAGGCATCACTGTATTTTTTAATCATGAATTGAAGAAAGCAAATTCAATTTTGAAATAATGGATGAGTATGGCGAAGGCAAGCAATCATTGCCAGGATGGAGGAATAATATACATGTACTTCTAATCATCAAAGCTCATACTGTTGATTTTACCATCTATTGACATGTAGGCTGGTGAATAACCTGGCAGCGGTTTCACGGGTCATCAACTTGAAGCCGCACTGGGTGTCCCGCACGCCGCGCACGCAGAGAAACCATACCAGGAAATGGAAGCCATACATCAGAACGGTGCGGAAAAGGGAACGCTGGAACGCAGGCAGGGAAAATTTACAGTTCATTTATGACTCATTCATTGCAGTGTTCTCTGTGTACTTGCTAAAAAGCTGAAATGCCAAAATTTTAACGCATGGTATGGACAACAATATCAAGTAAACATACTGTCTCGGGATTTCTGTTTTTAAGCAGGGAAAAAATTTAAGTAGGAAGTTGTACGAAATTGATAGCAAGAGTTCCAAATCTGGCAACCAGGTGTCTCAACACCAAACATAATTTCCACCTCATCTTGCATTTTCCTTTTAAGTCAATTCAGCTTGGGAAACACTGAAGTTATCAGAGAAAAGATAAGTTTTGATGTTGCACTTTAAACTGTTGGTGTTTAAAGTCAAGAAACGTGATAGTTGGATGCAAACTGTCCAACTAGTTTTGCATCAAATCAATGACTCGAGCACATCCCTTGTCAAATCTTACTTTGTCAGCAATTTGTAAATTGTCTCATTGGTGCCAGTAATGAAAGTTCTTGGTAGGAAGAAATATGGGAACATTATTGAAAGATTCAACATTTACACACAATCAAAATTGGCAGCATCCCATGAAGAACAACAGACGACTGAAAAAAAATTTGACTTCCTCATGCCTTCAAATCTATAGACCTATGTCAAGATGTCTACAGGTAGCTTACCTCTGCAACCGATTCCTCCTGCAAGTGAGCTCTTGACCCACAAACAATGGCCATATTGTCCTGATTAATACAAAAATGAAAATGTCTGAAACTGTAACCAACTCCACGCAGTGCTTCGTCTAATAATATCTTAGTCTAATAGTTCTCTTTTAAATCGATTTTTCTCTCCATGTATTTTTTAGCGCAATCACAACCTGGGCTACAATTTGACTATTGGCTGCTTTCCACCCTGAGTTAAGTGCGCCCTCATCAGCAAAGGAGAGACAGGCTGGTGGGAAGTTTTTCAACTGAGCTCGTGCATGCACCAGGCACAAATGGGAAGGCCATACATTCCAAAATAAAGTGGTCGCTCACGCTCAGCACATCCCGCACCAAACCCGTGTAAGCCTGCATACTCACAAAGTGAGTTCCCATCAAAAGCACCGTCGTTCCATGTTGAAACACGCCCTCTTTTAGTCCCACTTGGAGTGGACAGTTCGATAAACATGCCAGTAAATTGCAAAGGACATGAAACTATGCAAAGAGGCAAGGCTGGATTTACATTTCTCATGACCAGACTGTGGATGTTTAGTCAAAACTTTTTCATATATGTCACACTGTATACCCGTATGCTACTTATATATACTGTGAATGAAAATCATGGTCATGTCAGGAAATGGTGGAACCATTGCGTAACTATTCCCTGGCTTTCAAACATCACTCTTCTTAAGATGTCATTTTGGCGGTATTTCAATGAGGCTAGCGACTACAATTCTAAAATCATTACAAAAAACACAGCAGTTGCTGTGAGAAATATCCAGTGCCATCAAATCAGTGTTTTCTAATCTTTTCAAATTGGAATGGTTATTAAAATACCAACCTCACTGGGAGTAAAACATCTTTGACAACTACTACACATGTTGATGTGTCAATCAGGTCCGTCTAAATTACCTTCTTTGGGTTGATTTCTTGCAGGCTCTCCTCTAGCTTCTCAAGGTCGGCAAATTTGGTGGCCCCGTCTGCATCAGCAAAGAGTACCCTCTTGCCCCGTGCACTGAGCATGCCCAGTCGTACGGCACCACCCTTGCCTCTGTTCTTGGCCAGCGTTAGTACCCGTACACGCTCTGTGCCATACTTCTTAGAATATTCCAGGGCGACCTGTTCGCAAAAAGATAACAACGACTAAACACACTGCATGGAAATCCGGAACCAGGTCGTAAATGCATAAATCTCATAATGTACCATATTCAGACTGAAATAAGGATCAGGTGGGTAACTGGAAACTCAGAAAAAAAGGAGGCAAATTCAGAATTCATAAAATTTTGTACATTATTTTCTTATTTGTAATGGTATACGTGGCAGGTTAAAAAGGGAGAAAATCAGCTAACGTGACAAAAGTTCCATGACGAAACTGTGTGTTGAATGTTCACCTTTTGTTAAAAGTTGCCACTGACTATTCTAAATCTCCCCAAATCCGACAGCTGGTATAGTACATTTCTGGGCAGTTTTACTCTGAACCGTCCTGAGTCCTCCAAAACCCACCAATTTGCAGGTCAAAAGTTGGTGTCACACATTATTCTATTTCAACAACTTTCAAAAGCATCGAGCTACATGGAAGGTAACAGTAGCTAGACTCTACCTTCATCAATCCTTCCAAATTCTGCTAAACCTGTTAGTGTACTTTGCAGGATCTGGCACAATTAGTGTTGACAACAATACACTCATCTGTTCCGTACAAACTCATGACATGCAAGTGTGTCCTTATCAATCAGTTAAAATACTCTATATTTATGCACTGTCAAATGATTACATTTATAAATGTTATTTGTGCAGATATCCATTTAACAAAGTTGGATTGACCAACATTTTTGATTAATTATTCAATTCCTAGATGGCATACCTTGGTTGTGGAGTCTTTGCTTCCATCGTCAACTACAATGACTTCATATGTAAATGTCTCATTTCCCCTCTGTAAACAAAAATAAAGTTGCCTGGTACATAAATAAAAGTGACTCTGGAGTCACTCAAGAAATATGTAGGCCCTGTTTAAAAAGAGCAATGCCTTCATCTGAAAACATTGTCACAATATTGGCAGTTGGATAAACCATCTGAATTTTAATCCAAATGGTTTCTGAAACTACTGACATATTAATAAACAAATTGAAAAAATTGTCTTGGAGAGAAACGGCAATTGAGGTGCTCTTTCCATACTGATAAGAAAACATAACATTTCTCTCAAAAGATCTGGCCAACTCCACAAAAGAATTTGTGTATAAAGCACAAATCCTTTTGATCTTCTTAACTGTGAACACAATCTTGTGTTTTATAATTCTTGTCTATATATGTCAAGTGGCTAACAAGTTATCAGCAGTGAGGGAGTATAAGCATGATGCGTTCATTTTAAAACTCTGCATGTAAAACCAGCCAAAATTCATCATTTTCTCTGATTATTTCATTTTTCTGAGCGTCATATATTTTACCCACTTCAAGAGGATTCATTCAACCTTTTCACATAAAAATTAATTGGCCCAATTCAAGGGGCCAAGCTTTTTTGCTGACTGGCTTATCATCTGATTAACACCACGCATGTGACAGGCTCTGGACCTGTCAGTGTGCTCAAACTTTCTTAAGCTTTTATAGATGCAGAATACAGTATTACCTGTTTGTTCTCTAAGAAGTCAATGGCTTCATCTAACATCACAGGCACTGTGGAGGGGGGGGAAGCAGTTGAAGAATTTTGAAACTTCAAATCACCAAAATTGTTCCTTTGCTACACTGTAGATGAAACGATTATACCTCATTTTGGTTGCTAAAGGTAAAAAAATTACAAACATGTTTCTTAAGACCTCGATTAGGCAATGCTGAAGAAAAGAACATATATTAAATGAATGCAATTCCAAAGATTAATATTTCTGTCGATGTGTGTTCTATGCTAAGAGAAATATTAGATACACTTTTACACAGCTACATGTACAAGATTAAGGTCTCCCCTTCCATTTCTTCCTGAAACTTACATCTTAATTCCTCGTTGTATGACGGGACAATGACCGATAGATCCAAAGATGATTCATCTCTTAAACTTGGAAAGGGGCGTTTTTGGTCATTTTCAGCCGTTGGATCAAGGAAGTAATTCTCACTGTCATATCGCCTCATGTCGGGCTTTGGGTCTGTTGTCATGTAGACAAAGATCACGGCCTGTGAAATTCATAGGGGAAAGCAAGAAAAACCAGTTAATTTCAGGAATGACGATAAAAACTGACCTGTATCGCAGTCAATGTCACAAGCAATGTCAATCTCTATGAGGGAGATTTTTGTGTGCCCTGCATACAATACAACATGTAACACATCATATTCACCAAGCGGCAATAAGTTAATCTGCAATGCAGCAGCTGAAAAATCAAACTGAAACATACAACCACACTTGATCTTTTTTTTTTCAAAATGAGTGGATTTCGGGAGAAAGGTTATTCAAGGAATCAGACTTTGTTTAACAATGCAAAGGCTTCATCAGCACCTACACAACTCACAGTCAGGTTTTATCCTTAATGATAATCACGTGTTGAGGGGAGATCATGACAACATCAGAATATGATCAACACAGGACAGCCAACTTTAGAACGACAAAAAACTCTCCCACTGATGGTTATCCTCAATTAATTATGCAGCATTAATTATTACGGAGCCCTGGGGGTGGTCCTTGACTGTAAACCTAGACGAGCTGGGCTTTGGCTTTAAATCACACAAAGGACTTTTTCCGTCATTGCTTATTTTCTTTTTGACAAATTATTTGGTTGGCACTAGTCTGAGTGTTGTCATAACCCAAATCAAAATCCTTGGAATTCACCTCCAAAATGGTCCTTAAACTGTCTGACAGAGAACTGGCCCCTCTTCAACTGCCAAAACTATTGTTAAAGTGTTCCACCTTTTTTCTTAAGTCCTCCAAGAAAACCACAGTAAAGGTAAGAAACAAAGACTGCAAAGGGTTTCAAGTCAAATCGGACCCAAACCAACTCGGACCCAAACCAACTCGGACCCAAACCAACTCGGACCCAAACCAACTCGGACCTAAGCCACAACTCGGACCCATGCCAACTGGGACCCAAATCAACTCAGACCCATGCCAACTTGGACCAATGCCAACTCGGACCCAAACTAACTCAGACCCAAGCCAACTTGAACCCACTCGAAGTTAACTCAAACCCAACCCACGGAATGTTTAGTTTCTGCCTGATTAATTATCAGAGTTGGTTAAGGGTCCGAGTTGGTCGTGGGTCCTAGTTGGCATGGGTCTGAGATGGCTTCAGGTCCAAGTTGGCATGGTTGGAACCTGGGAGTGGAGTGGACGTCAGACCCCACAGTTCTGGGGGTAGGCATGGGTCCAAGTTAGCATGGGTCCGAGTTGGTTTGGGTCTGACATGGCTGAGTTGACCAGGTCCCCTGCAAATTCATTCATTAATTCTTATCCATTACTAATCACCAAGCTTTAACTTCGAGATGGGAGAAGTGTAGACTAAAAACCCAAATCTGAAGTGCTTACCAAAATAAATACAACAAGAGCTCCTAACGCTACAAATTGAAGTAAATTCAGCAAAGTTAGCTCCATTTCTCCGATGTAGTGCTGTCAGTGCAGCGTCACTGCAATTGAGTAGGCACAGTCTGGTTTCCAACACGGAAACAC